AAGTCGGCGCCACGGCAGAGGGCTCGCAAACGCCGCCAGAGCGAGGCTGGGGCTGCGGATGGCTGCGGATGGCAGGACATCGGTTGGTTGGCGATCCGCATCTTTGAGGCTGTCGACAATCGCGGGAGAGCGCCGGGGGGGGGGGGGGGGGCCTCTGTGGCAGCTGCAAGTGATTCAAGGGCTGAGGATGGAGGGCGGGCCAACGGGTCGGCGAGCAGCTGGCCTTCGCCGAAACTCCGAGACCCTTGAAGCTCTGAGTCGCGGGCGAGGCTCGCAGGTCCACGGCGTGTGGAGATCGTACGATCGACGAGAGCTGGGGCGATGGGCCGCAACGGGGCCATCTCAGATGCCTGGGCGCCAATGCCCCTTTTTTAGGCCCAGGTACCAATCGATCGAGCCGATCGGCAAATCGGCGGCGGCGGATGTTCGTCGCAGGGGGGAGGGGGGAGGCGGGGCCGCGTGTGGATCCCGTCCAAGGCCCGGGACGAGAGGCCCGGAGACCCTGGTGCAATCTCGAAAGTGCTGGAAAATAACCCGAACAAAAACAAGCGGTCCCTTTGGGTACAACCCCCAGATGGCGAAGAGGCAATCGCCTATAGGGATGCTAAAAGTCCTGCCCGGGTGCGCAGAACCGCCCTTAAAAAGCGGCCGGCAGCCGGTGATCGGATCGCGGCAAGTCGAATGGCAAGTAATTCTGATTCGGAAGCCAATTGCGTCAGAGGATGTCGAGGCTGCTGGGGATGCGGCCGTGGCCCGGAGCGGGTGGCTCATCATCGCCCCCCAAGCCCCACCCGAACCTCCTTCGTCCAAGTCCGCCTGACTTGGACGCCAGCGGCCGCCATTTCTGGATGCCCCCAGGCGCCAATCGATCGAACATGCCCTCCGCAGGCCGCGCGCCAAACCAAACCACGAAAACGCCGACCGTCAATGATAAACGCTCAACGATCGACCAGCCACATCCATGGTTTCGAATCTCCGGCGAGCTCCGGGCGGCTCGGGGTCCGGCAGCCAACCCGGAACTCTCCCCGCGACAAAATTCTGACAAGGTTTCGACGTGCGCGCGGCAGAGGCGAAAGGGAGGATCGCTGAACGGGGGATCGCTCAACGGGGACGCACGGACAAAGATGCTCACCTGGGCAAGGAGACGTGGACACGCTTCAACGGGCGTCCGGCGCCACTACCAGTTTCAGTCGCTGCTGTCGGCGCGTCTCCGCGCGGAGGTGGCCGCTCTGAGGTGCCGGGGATGGCAAAGAAGTTGCAGGGGTTGGACAGTGGGGACTGAACAAGAGCGCGCTCAGGTGCATGGTACTTTACGTACAGCGCGCTGACCGCGCCTTTCAAGCGTCCATGCTTACTAACGCGTGCTGTGGGCTCTCGGTGCCGCGGCTTGCGCGAGGCGCCGGGGGGGGAGTCACGAGCTATTAGTCATGCCTGAATACGGTTGGTGCTTGCGCCGAGGGCCTGAATATGCTTGCGGGTGAGGGGCGGGCGCGAGTGACTCGGCCTTGGGCGCGACCCGCTCTTCGTGGAGGGATGGAATTAGTCACAGCCGCGGGGGGGCAGCGCGCGGCAGGACACGCGAACCCAACTTTTGCATGGAACACGCCGGGGGGGGATGGAAGTGATTGAGTATTATTAACAACTGGACGCTCACAGAAGTGCTGAGGCACTAGGAATTGAATTAAGGACGTTGATGAACGGACTGGATGCAAGGGGCAGAACTCCTGTTGTCCCTTTGCTCCGCTGTGGGCCGTTGCCATGTACCCGAGCCTACGGGCTCCGGTCGGGGATCGCCACCCCTCGATCCTGCCTGCCTTCGTCAGTGGTCTGGAGTTGAAGGTGCGCAAGTTGCTGAAGAGAGCTAGCCCACATTGCAGTTAATGATGTCGGCAGAAGAGGCCGCGGCATTGACACCTGAGAATTCCCAGCGGCTGCGTCATTGGAAAAGTGCAGCACTGGGTGAGGCATGGCCTGGAAAGTGCGCAACCGGGATATGACCAGGAACGTGTGACCAGGGACAATTCCATGGCTGGAATTGTGACTGGCGGATATCCAGAAAGACCGTCAGGACGTGGAGCTGCTCCCCAGGATGCGTCCTCGCCTTGCCGTGGCCGTGTCTTGGAACCCACGACGTGGATAGGCACATCCCGTTTGCAATGGAAGTATCGACGTTCAGCAACCAAGGAGATGTATGCGGCAATGCTCTTGTGTTTCCAGCGCAGCCATTGCAGCAAGCAAGCTGAGGAGAAAGCTGCAGATAGCAAAAACCCACAGGGGGCAAAAGCGACATAAAATTACGAAAACTGGAGGGATCTGTGCGTTGACACCCTTCAAAAGACACTGCCGCAAAAGAACGGGAAATGGCACAGAGGAATGGAAAAGCAATTGACTGAGCAGAAGGAATGGTCAAGACACACTGATCAGACTTGGAGCGAGTCGCCAGACTGGCCGCCATTCGCACATCCACAGAATGCCAGAGCAAGCCTGAATGGTCCCGCGACCGCGCTTGTTCACGTCCTTGGATGGGTGTCCCTGGATTGGTACAGTGAGCTGGCAAATGACTCATGGGAACCCTTCGCAAAGTGGATTCCAGCATTTGCATTGCCAGCTGTGGTGCAATGCAGCAGCCCCCCCGAACCTCTTCCGCAATCTTGTTATCCACCGTCGCCTGCAAGGTGCATGCGGTCTTCTGCGTTCCAGGGCTCAAAATGAGCAGTTGGGCGACCCTGCCCATTGCCCTTCTTCGCTGCGCAGCTGTGAGCGCACTGGCGGTAATCAACAGTGCTGCACGCTCAAAATGCGCCAGTGCCTTTACCTCCTTGAGTACGCATAGCTGCACAGGTGCTGAACAAACTCGAGCTGATATTCCTAAAACATGCAGCTCATAACAATGCAATTCAAGTCACGGGCCGCACACTGCACTCGTCAAGATATTGCAAAGAAGAATCTGTCTGTAGACCCCACCCCATTCCCGCCAGGTAGCATTCGAGATAATGTGTGCAATCCATGCATACACTGATCTTGGAGTAGCGTGCCGGTATCTGTGGCCTGCTGCCCACTCCTTGAGCACAATGCTGACATACTGGGACATGTGTGCAACATTTTCACAGAGCAGAACATAGCCAGAAGACTGGGGTGCCGGATATAAAGCTGGGGTATACATGCACATATACAATTCACACGCTAATGTATGCATTCACATGTACACCTCTATGTGCATGAACTTCTACATATAAGCAATTTATGGGCATCGAGCACAGGGCAAAGACCACACTCTTCAGTGCTGGGGTGCCCATTGTCTAACATGTTATTGTTCCCAACAAATAGTTGCTCCAAAGCCTGTAGGAAATCAGTACTGGAAGAACATCTGACTACATCCCCGCATCAACACAGTGTTGAAGATCGCGATGCCATAAATGTGGACACTTACCTCAGCAAGACAATGTGCGTCGTCCAAGCAAGCTGTCCTTTTCATGCAAGCTGCTGGTTGCCATGCCAGCTGCATTGGCAGGTCCCTGTGTCACCTGCACCGTGCGGAACGACAGGCTTGAGAATCTCGCCCAGGAGCTGCTGCACAATCCAAGGCATGCTCTTGGCCCTCATTCAACACTCACCTGCCCCCGAGCTTCGCGGACGGAATCCACATTGCGGAGGCCATCCAACCACACAACCTGTGTCAAATCAGCATAGAAGGTCAACCAGTGTTCATCAGCGCATACGCCACAGGGGATAGCATGGGAGGAGGGGGGGGACTATTAGGCAGCACCCATAGCACTATTGAAAACAGCCTGCATTGTGGCCAGGTGTGTGGGGATAAGCGACATGGAACAAAGCTGCCCATGCAGCCTCCCACTTGCTGCTGCGTAGGCCACTGCCCAGTGGGTGGAGAGCAGCATATATGTCGCAGGGGACCGCAAGGACTGTCATGCCCCTGATCTGCTGCACTCAAAGTACTCGCCTTGGAATGGGGTGTCAGCCTTCAAGACACATTTCCCATCCAAACTGTTGGCCACTGGTCTTGGGACACACACGTACACACATGTAGGGAGCATCTGCATAGTGTGGAACAGAGTTTCTCTAATTTTGCTTGGGTACCAAGAGAGGGGGGTGGAAGGGGAAGGGGCACCACTGCATGGCATGTCTCCTGCCCTCTTCCAATAAGTTCGCGCCCCATTAAAAGAGTCGACATCGGAGAGGGCAGCGTTTGACTGACAAGCCGGCAATCAACGATGATACGTATTTCCAACAGATCATCACACCGGCTCTTAACAATCAGTCATAATCGCAACAAGAGTTGCATGCGCACAGCTGCACTCACAACTGCTGAATGAATCGTAGCTGTAGTTGCAACGAATGCTTGCACAGACAAGTGGGTATCTGTGAGGCAGTGCGCAGCAGCAGCGCAGCGACACAGAGCCCCGCAACAGAAGCGAAACCAACAACAACAGTTCAGTGCTGCCGGGATGCGCTTCAAGGCATGTGCAGCTTGCGACAGGCCACAATGGCAATCAGCATCGCCAATCGCAAAGACCAGCGTTGGGCTGAAAGATCGTGCAAAGGGACAACACAACGACACCAAGCTTCACATAAGAATGCGAAAACAACGGCTAGGACTCGGCCCATCCAAGGCACTCTTTGACCATGTGAAGCGCACATCACTTTCACCAGGATGCCGCAGGCCTCTCTCTCGATGCAGACACCTACTCAAATCCAAACTCCCCTCCCCACCAGGTCCCCCATAGTTCGGACTGGACAACGCAAATTACAAACCTACAAGAACCTGCACTGGCGGCACTTCACTCCATCTCACACTTTCGCCCTCTGTCGCCTCACTGATTACCACTTCCCAAATCCCCGACAAACCCAATCGAGCCACAAACCCACGCATCCTCAAAGAATGTGATTGGCATCATCGTGGTGACATCGGCAAGTCCAATTCAGGGTCCCCGGGTCACCCCAAGCAAATTCAGTCAAAGCGTATTCGCCCTCCTCCCGCGACCCTAGCCCTTTCTATTGTACACCTCGTGGTCTATTCTTGTACAATGGCCCTCCCCATTGTACCGCCACTCCACCCTCTGGAAACGCGTTTTGGACACGCGCTTGCCCGCCTGAAACACTAGCTGCGTGGGCCTGGGGGCCCTGCTCCCCAACGGCTCGATAGTTCGTGGACCCCAGAAGTACGCCTCGCCCGCAGTCAGCACCAGCGCCATGGAATTGTCTTCCGTGTCCGGCGGCCTCCATTCAGCTTCGCCCTCGCTTGACCACATCGTGTTACCCTCGATCTCCAGAGTGGACCTGCAGTGGGATAACAAAATAGCACAAGTACAATAAAGTGAGATAAAGATAAATCAAACACACTAATAAAATGAATAACAACTCAACGATAAATTACTTTATGACAACCCAACTCATAGGGTTTCAGCAATGCCAATGGTACAGTAAAAACGTGTGTGACTTTTCGCTTTTGATGGATGGAATCTGTGAGGATGCAGAGCAGATGCAAGAAAATAACTCTCACATCATTGCAAATAAACTGCAGAAGGGGTGACTTCTTTTACTATTGTAATATTGTTGTTGCTACCATTCTTATAGTCACAATCATCCATGTCATAATAATTCATTGCTACAATTCACCTATAGTCATTACTATTTTTTGTCATCACTATATATCCAACTTCACTAAGTTGGATTGCAGCCATAAAGAAACCCCTAACGTGGCCTTTGCGCCTTGCAGGTGATGACCAGCACAGAGACATCCAATCGCTGCCTATTCAATATTCAAGATTGCGATTCTGCACACAGCCCCCTTGCACAACACACAAAAAGCAGCGGAAAACGCCATTCCTGTGGATTGATACCCCTTCAACGGAGCCAGCTGTTGCGGCTTTCAACACTGTAAATGACTGTGCAACTGTGAATGTAACTGACTGTAAAGTACTATGCATCATTAAAGTACTATGCGTCATTAAAGTACTATGCATTACTATGCATTATAACACGCAGTAGCATCTGATGCAAGACTCCGACATCAGAGAAAAAGCAGAGGCCTCTGATGGCCGGGGAGGGGTCTGTATCCAGCTTCAGAATGCGCACATGTATCAAGAACTCGTGGGTAAGCACAATTAGTGTTTGCGAGTTGTGCCAAATAGCTGCCTGAAAGCTGCAAAGGCATGCCTGTGACATGTTGTGGAATGCCATGAACAAGCCTCTACCTGGAACCTCGCCATTCTCCCTCCCCCAGCCATTTTGTCGGGTCACCAGGCAGCTGTTCAGCCCTCCACCTACAGTTCACCATTCACATCAGCTTGAGTCAGCGCTGTTTGAGTTTACGTGACAATCACCCTCGATTGAGTTGCACTTAACCAGGGAAATGCCATCGACTACAGCTGCAGAAAGACACGGCATAGCCCTTGCACTCAGCAGGTGACGGTGCATGCTGAAAGATCCAATCCAGGTTGTTCACTGTCCAGTACAGCAATTCCAAAAAAACACACACCACATACATAGAGTGGGAAGGGCAGACTCCTGTGCACCTTTCACACTTTGGAATGGAGTCCAACTGCACATTACTAGCATGCTCAGAACTGTCCCCCCACTGTGCAATGTGCTTCATACCAGCCAAGTTTGAGTTGGCTAATGCCTGGGTACAAGTTGCATGAAACATGACACGCAGTGGGAATGCAACATGCCTCAATAAGTCAGATGATCACACGTGTAGGTTGGCTAGCAGTCCACAAGGACCTGACAATGCTGGTTAAAAAACCTGTGACATGGGAAACGAAATTTTCTTCCGGACAGCAAGAATGAGATTGTCATCCTTTCTGTACCAAGAAAATGTTGATCAAGCATTCACCAGGGCAGCACAGGCTAGTGACAGAGCATACGGTCCAACGTAGGAAAGATCATTTGGGGCTCGTTTCTGCTCAAGAAAATTGAAATGTCTGACTGTGGTATAAACAGCACACAATAATGAACAACACTTGGAACACAAACACTGAGGCAAGGGCAAGAACAATTTGTCTTGTTTCAAGCCAACGATGACCAGAGGGAATTCTGCAAGGGGCTGAACAGTCCAGACAGCTGGAAACAAACGGGCTGATGGCTGGAACTTTCGGCTCTGGCCATTCTCTGCCAAGAGGTGCGCTCCGTGATTTCCAAAACTCATGGGCTACAGGTGAGAGCTGCTCAGTTGCTGCATGCCGCATGCACTGTCGAGTTCTTCTTAAACAAGTTTTCAACAACAAACTGTTCCTTCAACAATTCTTAAACAAGAAACAGTTTTTCACGAACAAGTCTTAAACAAGAAACAGTTCTTCACAAATAAACACATCAGCTCAGCAACAGCCCCAGTGTTCCATGTTCAATACCATTCACCCCCAGCAGCAAGGGGCCATTTTGTGCACTTGTTCGTGACCTTCACTGCCCCTTTTCAGTGAAATGCAACAATCTGCACATGGAACAGTTGTGCAACAATCTGCCCCTCCCTCTCGAGTGCAGCAATTGACAATACCAACTGCAGGACCGATGGCACACAAGCCTCATTTCCACACATGGATTTCAACCTTCATGATCATGCCATGACTGAACACGAGTGGGACATTGCTGCACCAATCATCGCCCTCAGACACAAGACCGTCTCACACCTCGTCCATAAATGTACCAAACCCAATTACCCATCGCAGGCCTCTGGCCGCGTCGGAAACCGCACCTGGCAATCCAGACGCCCCAGGCAGCGGCCCCCCCCCCTTGCACCCCCCACACGCACACGCACTCCCAAGCGGCCTAACCAAAGCACCTCACGTCAAAAATCGGGCATCAAAATCAGACACCGAAATCAAAACATCAAAATCGAAGTCTAAGTCAACATCGCCATCAGTCAGGTCCAAAGGTCCCACCTGTATCTCAGCGTGTCGAAGTCCACCTCGCCCTGAATAACCTCCAGCAATGCGGGCTTCTCCTGTATCTCCCCGCAGCTGCTCAGAGCGTAGCTCTCCCCCTTGCGGCCCCCCTCCCCCGTCACGAATTTCGCGTACATGAACGTGACGCCCAGCACCCCCCCCTCCACGGAAAAGTCCACTTCCCCAAAATAGCCGTCCGGAAGCGCCTTGCCCCCCACGCCCGGCAAATCCATGCCCGCAAAGAGCGACAAATTGAGGCCCAGATCCGGAAATGTGCGCCTCATCACGTAGCGGTGCCTGCAGGAGGTCCCTGCCGCCTCCGCGACGATCCCCACGCCATCCGCGCACTCCCGCCTCTCCATGAAGGCCTCGATGAACTCAACATCCTCCCCTCCCATCTCCTTCTCGCTCACGGACGTCTGCGTGACCACGTCACCCTCCGGGGTGTGAGAAAAGCCCCTCACCGCGCGAAAATTGTTACACGTGTCCTTCTCCACCACCAGGACGTCCCCCTCCTGGATCGTCACCACGTAACGGTTGCCGAAGCCCACGGCGCAGGCGTCGGCCTCCGTGATGGCCAGGAATTCATCCCATGCCAAATCGGCGGTGAACTCCACCCGGTCGGGCATGCGGCGCCTATTGAGCCCCCGGGCTCCAGGGGTTGTGCGCCGCTCGGGGGGGCCTTGAGGGGGGGGCCTTGGGGGGGCGGCCTTGAGGGGGGGGGGCTGGGGGGCCGCTCGAGTGTCGAGAGAGGCCGTGCGCGATTCGCGGCCGGGCATGCGCCCCCGCGACGCGTAATATTTGCGGAGTCGAGTGGATCTTGGGATTTTTTTTTAAACCAGTCCAGAAGTCGGGCCCTCGTCCCCGACGTTCTGCACTTTTTCGTTCCTATGCTATCCATTCAAAGCCACTGACTCGCTGGCCAGGCTGGGCTGCGCTGTTGCGGTGTTCATGTTTTCCATTCCCTGTCGATTTGCTCGTCACGTTCTTTGCTGTGTCCTCTGCCACTGTCGCTGCGCTGAGGGCTGCACAGCACCGCCGCGTGAGTTTGCTCCCGCTATGCTGCACGGGGAGACCTTGTCGGGGGCTGCAACTTCGACCATTGAGTTTTGGGATGCGAACCATCGCCGTTGCGGCCATCGGCCTTGGACGCCGCAATGATGCGGCATCGCATCGGAAGACGGGCGTCCAGCGTAAGCGGGCACCGAGCACCGCAGCCACGACAGCGGTAGCCGCGCCCCTCCCGTCGGCCGCCCTCGAGCGTACCTCAAAAATTCCACGGAGCCGCCCGCCATCCTACCGCTTTCAGCGATTGAATTCTCCACCATCGCCAGCATGCATCGCAGGATTGTTGGCTTTGCCTTTCCCAAGGAATCGCCCCTTGGATGGGGCACTTGCTGCACCCTTCCCGATTGCGACAATCCCTCCCAACTTCGACCGTTGAGTTTTGGGACCCGAGTCATCGCCACTGCGGCCATCGGCGCTGGCGATGGCCGTCAACGCCAGCGCGACGACGGGGATTCGTGTCCCACTATCGTAACGGGCGCGCGGCTCCACACCTCGAGAGAAGGCGCTGGGTTCGGCGTGGCCTCTACCGGGATCGCCCACCACCATCGCCGTCGCTTGCCATCGCCACGGGCGTGATTCGCAAGCCATCGCCGCAGCCGCATTGCCCTCAAGCGACCCAAAAGCGCATTCGACACTCACGACCCGTGATTGACGCACACCGCGCGCTGTGATCGCGATGGCGAAGGTCCATGCCCCAACCCGAGCTTGCGCTGAAGCACGCAGCCCAACCCGAGTGGGAGCTGCACACCCGCTCTCCGCTTTCCAAAACTTACTCCAGGGCCCGGGGGCCCCGAACGCTTGGACTTGAAGGGCGCGCTGATTGCATCCGGTGCCGCGGTCGCTGCGCCGAAGCCTGCCACAGCAGAGCGCTGGAAGGCTCTGGAGTACCTCCGCGGCTCGACTGGAGCCCTCGCGGGAACGGCAACACCGAGCCGCGCGTTTGGGCGCGGGCCATCGCCGTTGTGACGATCGGCTCCGGCGATGGTCTCCATTGCCGCCGCGACGACGAGGAATCACGTCGGGAACGCGCGCCTCGAGCGCAAGCGCGCACGGCGCGCTGCAGCCACGGCACTGATAGCCGCGCGCCTCCCGTCGGCCGCCCTCGAGCGCAGCCACCGGCGCCACCCAGGAACGCACATGCCCACAGCATCCGACTTGGAGAGCCCCATCACTCACGTACCCCCTGTCGCAGGGGTCGATTCTTACACAAGAACGCTGAGTCAGCCTTTAAAAAATCCATTTCCGGGGCGCTCTTAGCCGCGTTCCCAGCTTATAATATAAGACCGTCGAGGCCTAAAAAGACAAAAACGACAATAATTCTGTGACTGTCTTGCCTGGAACGGGCACTGCCTGCCTGCGGCTGCATCTGCTCGCGCCGGCCCTGGTCCAGCACAATTCCCAGCCTATTGCCTTCCATTTTTTGAGACCTAACTTCTGCCCCACCCGCCATCAAGACGAACCTCGAACGGGTTCACAGCACTCGACGCAAAAGCGAACGCAGCGGCAGCCATTCAATCGCCCTGTCCTTTTGCTGAAGATCCCAGTCCTTGCAGCAGGCGATGGTCCCCAAGGCCCTGGAACAAAGCACTGGAAAAGCCCTGGGGAAAAACCCCAGGAAGTCGGCGAAAAGACAGACTCAGTACATTGTGATATATTCTCCCGGCACTCCCCCACTACCCTGCACACACCACAGAAATTTTTGTTTAGGAACAGCCTCACACAGCATAGAAATTCCTGTTTTGTTATATTACATATTAATAACATTAATATGCATAATAACATTAATATGCATAATACATTATGAAGTATATGTATTAAAACAAGCGAAAGCCTTTTGGACGACGGTCCCACCCCACCCACCCAGCCCAGGCGATGCCGCCCGCACAGCGCCCTTCCCGCGGCAGGCCATCAGTTCCCGCTCCCCCCACCCCCGCGGGATCACGCAACCTGAATTTTTGTCCGATACAATCGGCAGCAAGGATTTGCCATTTTCACCAGATGGTACGACCGGCGGAACGGAACGGGGATAGTTCCTGATCGGCTCTTGCGCGCCACCGATCGAGCCAGGGGGCAAAATGGGGTCTGAGAGCGACGGCGAGGATTACATCTTTCTGGGCACGCCGATTGAAGATGAGGAGGGGCCGTCCAGGCGGTACAGGAAGCAAGCGCAGGACCCGAGGGCCACGCGGGGGCTACCGGTGTGGGAGCAGGAGGTCACGGACGCGGAGGGCAGGCGGCGGTTCCACGGCGCATTCACGGGGGGCTTCAGCGCGGGGTACTACAACACCGTGGGGAGCAAGGTGAGAGATGTGTTGGGTGCCGCAAAGAGAACAAGTCATCCACAAGGAGGCGGGGCGGGGTTGGGGGAGCGATCTTACAAAAGGTAGAGGGGATAGAGGGAAGGGGGGGTCATGGAGAGGGCACCTGCTCCTGAGCAAGGTGGGGAGCAAGGGGATGTTTGTCACAAAGAGAGAACGAAATAGGTCATGCAAAGAGAGCCCCGTCCAAAGCAAGGTTAGGAGCGGGGTGAGATTTGTTGCATGCCAAAAAGAAAGCATGTCATCCACAAGGAGCAAGGTGGGCAGGTTTGGAGGGGGCGGGGGAGATTTGTTGCAAAGAGAAGAGGGGAAGGAGAAACGGGTCATGGAAAGGGGACCCCCCCCCTCTTTTCGACTCTGAAGAGGAGATGTGGGGTCTCCTGTGCAAGAAGACAAGCGCACAACATGAGCACCACGAAGAGCATGATGATATGGGCAGTGGAGAAGGCGGGGGGTGGGTCAAAGTCCCTAGTAGTTTTGGTTGTGTTGGGCCATGTCCCTAGCAGCCAGAACACATGCACCGTTGTAATCCAGTTTGGGGCCATTCACAGGAAGTGTGATGTGCTTTAAAGCTAGGTTTTGGTGCTTGGCATGAGCTTGTTTCTGTCTCTCGGGGCACTCTTTGCATATCCATTTTGGGTGCCTTTGACGTGGGCTGGGAGCAGTGGGGGGAAGGTTGGATGTAAACCCACATGTTTGCGTATGTGTGTGGACCCAATTAGCAGTATGTTGGTTTTCATGGTGTCTTTCTGGGGAACACAGCGTGGTGCATCACACTGTGCAGAGCATTGTGGGTGCGTTTCCAAGGCCATCAGCTGTGGGAAAGCAATGCTGATGTTCGATCATAGCCTTCCATGAGCAGCAGCTCTTGCTGCACGGCACCTTGATGGGGGGTACAGCATGGGCTGCCACAGCACAATCAGCACAGCCAGGTGACTGTGCTGCGGTGCCGAAAAGTGTCTTTGGAACCTTTAGAAACGGCCCAGTCACACAGGTCAAGCGATGGCTCAGGCTGGGGCTCCAATTTCACCGAGCGATCAATTGGGCATCTTGGGGGGCGATTTTCGGTGCTGCTGTCTGTCACCTGTTTCAAAAGCACATGACAAAGCAAGGCCCTTGTGGCTCATGGAAGATTGGAAGATGGTTGGATGCTGTGATGTGTGGCTGCCCTTGGAAAAGCTCGTGTGCGTGTGTGGTGAACACCATGCACACCACTGCGTGAAGCCCATTGGGCAATGGGGCCATTTGGGCGGTGAGGGAGGTTCCTAGCAGCCTGAGCAGCTCAGTTGAACATAGGTGGATGAGCCAGGCCCGCTGTGTAGGAATCAGATTCCGCTTTTTTCATTTTCTTTTTCCTTTGTTCATTTTCTTTCTTCTTTTTTCCACTTTTTTATTTCTCTCGGTAGAGAAAAACTGGTTCATCAGTTAACAGAGGGCAGCCATGCTTCTGTCTAAACGATGACGACAGACAGGGAGAGTGAAACATGCAGGCAGTCCAATGGCCCAGGCCCACAGGAAAGGTGCATTTGCTTCTCCTGCTGTGTTGTGTGAAACAGGAGCTCTCCACTGTGCATTCCTTTTTTGCACACGTGAAGGCTTCTGCATCGTTGCCCATTGTATGGTGCAGAATCTCGGATGCAGCTGTTCAGGAGTGGTTGTGGAATCCCAGTCAGTGTTTCTTCAGTGTCACAGGATTGCAATTCACACGGGCTGTCCCACAGGCTGTGCATGCTTGCGTGCTGATTCTTGCTGGTTCCTTTGCATCGCATCGCCTTCACATTTTGGAACAGTGCCTCTGTGCTCAGCAGGCAGTGATGGCGTCGGTGCCCATAAATTACACCACTATTGTAGTCTCACGCAATAATGGTTCTTTTGAATATTGTTATTGTCGTCGTAGTTAGTGCTGTTGTGACTGCTATGTACAAATGTTATCTACATTTGCCACACAGAGCAAACAGTGCCCTTGGTGACAATGCTGCATTAGAAGCTCATGTTGGGGAGGATGGGCAGGCAGATGATGATCTATTGTCATTTCTTTTTCAACTGAATGATGACCTTGACGCTGCTGGCTTTGTGCCAGGAAGGCTTTGCCCCCACGTCGTTCAGGACATCTCGCAGCAACAGAGCGGGACCCAGGGCCCAGAAAGTCGAAGATTTTTTGGATGAGGATGAGAAGGAGGAACGGAATAGGACAGCCCTGCGCGTTCAGGTAAATTTGGACATGTGAATATGATTGGATAGTTACATATACTGATGGATGTAACTAGAGAACTGCTACTGGAATAGATGCTGGATGCTGGATATTTGCAGAAGTACTAGAATGGATACTTTTGCAATGCTATTGCTGGAATGTTGCTGTCCAGGAGACTTGTGGAAGTATATGCTATAGACAGTATTGCTCTTTAGATTCTCAACTTGGTTGCTTGATGTTCTCGCATTAATTATGCAGTGCGATTATCATAAAAGCAGCAAGGGTATTCTGACAATTGAATAACTGTCCATTCCTGGAATGCTGGGCTGCTTGGCATGTTCTACTGGAGAAACGATGCCTGGATGGTGCCAAGCCTCGTGTTGACACGCACATGCAGTTGTAAATGGCTCCAGCAGTGCCAATGCACTGAACTGTGCTGCACACAGAGTACCACCCTGTACTTTACTTTGCAGTACACAGCACAACACATTCCCAAACTATACCACTATATCACTAATGTACACCCTGAACTCCTGAGCCCTTCTGTGCTGAAATGTTGCTGAATTTGCCTTTTGAATTTGCTGAGTTTATTCATTATGTGGCACACAGGACACCTATGACACATTCGCCCATGGAGCTCGAGAAGCTGCTTTGAAGCAGGCACAGCGAGAGGCCGAGGGCCGGCCCAGCTTGTTTTCGGGGCCCGTGATTGAGGAAGTGATCGCACCTGTGGCCGAGTCGATAGGTGGGACCCAGGGGCCAGACCCACTGACCAAACGAAACCAAACTGTCTTGTGTAGGGCAGCAAGGTGCAAGATATGCAGGAAATATGTGTAGGCCTGCACAGATTTGAACATGCAGTGTGCAGTATTGTACGAAATGCTGTGCGGAGATGGTTCTATGGGTGGCAATAGGCTGTGGGCGTTTTGTGCTGCTCTTGGCGATGAAAATTGTGCTGTGAGCAGAAGCCTGAGAGTATGGCAGCTACGGTGAGAGTGAATTGAGCCTTTGGGACTGATGTGTATTTCTATCCGAACTTCAGGCATCAAGCTGCTGCTGAAGATGGGCTGGAGGCACGGCAAGGGCATCGGATGGGAGGACAAGGCCACAGGGGATGGGGCCAAGGGGCTCAAGCGATGGGGCCCTGAGGCAAGCCTGGGGGCCGCAAACATCGCCCTCTACCTTCCCAAGCCAAAGGTGACTTGGCCTGCACCACAGCACCCCTGATGTCTTTCCTTCGTTGTTTGTTGTCTTGCTTTGCATCACAAGAGGGGTATACCCATTGCATGGCTTGCTGTTCTTCGCCCACAGTAAGTCAACGACCAGGTTGGCAATGCCGGAACGGTACACTGAATGTCTGACCTTTGTTATCTTTTGTTTGGGCTCCAAGACATTGAAAATGTGTGGATGCAAAAGGTGACCTGAACTTGGGGGCAGTGCAAAAGTACTGCAGTATCGTAACAGTAAGGAGCCATGTACAGTGAGGCAGTGTCAGTGGCAAAGAGGGAGTTTGGTTTGCTGGAAGGGATGAAGTCCACCATACTTGGTAGGACAGCCAGCAAATGTTGCTATGCTATGGGAATGTTTATCAGCACATCGCTCCCAAGTGCACAGCTGTGATGAACTAGTACCATGCTGCATTGCAGTACATGGCTGTGTATTGTTATTGTACCATAGAGCTGCATTACAGTACCATACAGCACTGTGACAGTGTAGTATTATGTACTCAATGCAGCACCAAGGTGCTGCGGTACTTTAACAGTATAGTGTTATGTACTGCACCAACTGCTGCTGGCTAACTGCAGTGATGCATTGTGCAGGATGATGTCCACGGGCTTGGGTACGACCCCTTCAAGGGTGCAGAGGTCTTCAGAGCTGCAAGGGTTGCCAAGGATTCGCAGCGGGCCCAGGGGACCGTCGCAGGGAAGAGGGCCAGGGGGACCGCATTTGGCACAGGCGTGCTGGAGGGCAACGACCAGTTAGGCGAGGTGCGCGAATCTGTTCATTGCCCTAAAGTTGCCGCTGTTCTCCTTGATGCCAAGGCATTGCATGTTAGTTTGCATATCATTTGTTTCCAGACAGCCCGCATTAAAAAACTATACCATACATTGTGATTTTCAGGCGTTGCGAGTGAATCTGTGCATGATTGTATTGTATTGTTTGTGTGTTGCTGCTTTGGACGTTGCATAGATTTTGCTCATCGATTGTGTGCAATTTTTTGTGCAACTTCTTGCAGTGGAAAGATTGTCGATTGGCTTCCACTGACATATTTAAGCAGAAGATGTCGCAGTCCAGGTGCCACTCACATTTCAATGCATGTTGTTGTTGTGACGCGGCCTCCCATGGGGCTCATCCTCACCTCAAATAGAGTGTCCTAACTACTGAGGTGTTCTCAATAGATGGAGGACTATGTCATTGATGGCGGGGGCAGAGGGGCAGAGTATGACTTCGAGATCGGCTCGGACAAGTCTGAAGACGATGAGCCACAACACCGCCACAAGAGGTCAGACACTAAGCTACTGGATTGGTTTTCCCATCCCCTGTGTTGCTTATCCACTGGACAGAGTCGCCAATGGACAGTGCTGGACAATTGCCCTTGCATGTTCCCTTATGTACTGGGCGGAGAAGCTGCTGTCTCTGTTGGTAAAGTACTTGACAAGTTGTCATTGGTTGTTGTGCTTATGTGCTGGGTAGAAACGCCTCTGGCTGTCAAGGTTTTGGATAAGCCAGGCCACAGGTTGTGTTGATGTAGTATGGGTTGCAGCCACAAAGGGCAACATACTGCACCCCTATAATGCTCGCTGTCCCAGCCTGGCCATTGCATACCCAACAGATACGGATGGCTGTGCTTGATGCATGGTGAGTTGCAGATGCACACCTTGACTCTGTGGCACAGAGTGAGGATGCTGTGACTCTTTTGCATAGGGCAGTTGCATTGTGTCTCTTTGTGCTTGGATTCAATAAGCTAGCAAGGTTTTAGTACATTATTTGATTCACGTGTCCAAATGTGCTGAACTGATCTAACGTATGAACTGAACCTTGTAGAAGATCAGTAATCTGATCTACAGCCTTTACTACTTTATTGGATGGAGGCCCAGGGGGCTCTCCGATTCCGCATTGCTCCCTGCAGCCTACCGCATTGATGCCCACCAGAATTTGATGCCAGTATTCACCAGCATGGTCCAAGCAGCATCGCTACACTTTCATTTAGTCTAACACACACTTGTTGATCTCTTTTATTGCTTATCAAGTTACAGAGTAGTAGGTTGTTTCCATCGACCGGAGCTGTTACTACTTCAGATGTCCGCCTGATGCCCTCGATGCTTTACACCACGCAGGCACCAGAGGCCTTCCAATTCGGTTCTGCCCCTCCTGCTGTCCTCCAGCCAGCAGGCCACCCCACAATTGGTGCCAGGATTCAAACGCGGTCGCCAGCTCGAGACCACCAAAACCTTCCCACCCCCACAGGTCCCCAGAGGCTACAAGCCATTCCACAAGTTCCCTGAGGCCCCGCCCAGCCACCCCATTGGGGCCCCCACCGTCCACATTGGGCCCTGCACCGCCCCCGTTCCAAGCGATCCGGGAATCAAAAAGGCCATAGAGACGCTGGCAGGGTATGTTGCAAAGAGTGGGGCAGCCTTTGAGGAGATCGCGAGGGAGCGCAACGGGGGGGACCCCAAGTTTCGGTTCCTGTTTGGGGGGGAGGGGGCGGAGTACTACAGGTGGAAGGTGGCGGATATAAAGGTAGGTGTGTTACCTTTGAGTTGCTGTATTCAGTTATTCAGTCGCTGTAATGTGATTGCAGTTGTGTTAATGTTGGTATTAGTCGTTTGCTGAAGTGGGCAAGCTGCGGTTATTCAATTGCAGGCATTGGCAATCACTGCTTCATTTTCTTGCAGATTTCTACACATGACTTGAACAGCTATGTGGAGTGAAGCGTGCCTGTCGTCACTGCTGCGATGCAAGGGCTGTGTGCTGTGTCATTGTGTGGCAGAAATCTGTCGGACTGTGCTTTATCGCTGCTGCTACTGCTGCTGCTTGCAGGCAGGCGGGACAAGAAATGGTTTTGTTGACAAAATCTTGTGTTGATGGTTCTCAAAACAAATCTCAACTGCAGACCAATCCCTCAAAAGGGCTGAAACTGCCCTCCAAAAAACGGCTGGCCAGTGTGTTTTGGGTATTGGGCTTTGCACCGTGCGCCTGCAGCTTTTTTCTTCCAGTTGTTTATGATTTTCATTCCCTCATATCTTGTATTGTCTATTCTGGACTTGTGAAAGATGCAAAGATTGGACACACCTGAACGCATATAATCAAGTGATGTCAAAATGTATATGGACCTTCATTGTCATTATGTGGAGTATTTGCGTGTTCCTGTCATTGCCATCAATCGCGCTGCTCATTGGAATGCCTTAGCAGAAAATCTGTCCAAATTCCTGCTCACTTCGGCCAGCCACAAGTCTTGAATGGTGGACATATTGCAAGCCCACATTCATACCTGTTCTTAACTGCCCACTTTCTGTTGTCATACTGCTTGTTGTAAACTTGTCCACTCAAAATTATGCCAACTTGATCCTTAGCATCGCCTCACGCCTTCTGTTCGTGTGGCACAAGATCCTCCTCCCTTCTGCCAGAGTTGGGTTGGCACGTGGTCCTTGCATGTGATACAACATTCTGAAATGGAAAGAACCTGCAAGGTTGTCATCCCCATGTATTTTGCTGATCTGCACCTCCAAGGACACTGCGTGCTCAGGTGTACATCCATTGTGTTCACTACCGCACTGCTTGCTGTACCTTGTGCTGGTCACCGTAGTCCTCAGTGTGTTGGGCAGTACTTTGTAGTGTTATGCACTGGGCACTGTAGTCCTCAGTGTGTTGGGCAGTACTTTGTAATGCTATGCACCGGCAACTGACTTGCTCACCTGCACGCTGACACCACGCCAACTCGTCTTTCGTCTCCGTGTCCTGCATTGAATCGCATCTTCAATGAATGCTATTGTTGCCATTGCAACTGCCTTGTATGTCTTATCTATATCTTATCTATACATTGAATCATTCACAGGATCATACATATCCATACATTGAATCATTCATGGGATCATGCATATCTATACATTGAATCTGTCAGAGGATCATGCACATCTATACATTGAATCATTCAATGGATACTGTCATCTGCATGCCCAGGTTCGCATCCATGCTGCCTCAAACATGGTCAACCCTGGTCAACGGTCCCGTCCGCTGACGGCTGACGACAGGGGTGCTATACTCGGAGAAACCCAGCTGCAGTCAACAAAGCCCACCCCAGGGATCGACCCTGACTCACGAGCAACTGAATCGGAGGCCGTAGGTCAGTCGTTGGGGGTTGGCAGGGGTGCCAGGCCAGCGTTGCCTGGCATCGCAGACGCCGAGAGGCAGAAGCTCCAGAACGTTCTGAAGAGCACCTTTGTCACGTGAGTGATGTTTTCGTGCTGGCATTTGGTGCACATGCAAGGGGCAGTTGCATGGCTGGCGGAGTGGTTGCAGGGTTGGATTTATGCATTGTGCATTTCTGTTGAGGCACACTGATCCATGAGGAAGCCTCTGGATCTGTAACATTTGTAAGTGGTTGTTTATCACAAAACTAAAGATAGTTGTCATAGAAAGTCGATCAACAGTGCTCAGATGACAGCAACACCTGCACAGTCACCTTTGCATCACGCATCAACCCATCCCTTCTTACCTCTGTGCATTTTTTGTTTGTTGCTTTGTCATTGCAAACTGCAAATTCTGTTGATTTGTTTTTTGTTTCACGTATTTGTGCTCTTTGTGGCATGCGATACTGTACTGGGCAAGTGCGCCCTGTCTCCTGGCCGCATTCTTCAAGAATTCGCCAGATTCGCCAAGTTGGCTTTGCATGCATCTCCCTGTGCATTTTGGATATTTGTACATCGCATTTACAGATGCACACCAGTGACAAATGCCTCTTCTTGAGGGTAACCATGGCCTCTAGAGGATGTCCTGGTTGGGAGCACACTAGTTCATGATGGTGAAGATATGTGGTCAACAAATTATTGCCAACATTTTATTTCACGTCTGGATTTCCGTTCAGGCTTTTTTCATTCCAGAAGATATTTATATCCATCGCGATCATTCTCACCCACCTGTGACTGACATCGATGCATCTATTTCTCCCTTTGCCCATTCTTGCCTTCATCCAGATTCCTTTCATCTATGTACTCCTATCTATATATTCCTATTTACATATTCCTATCTATATATTCCCATCCATGTATTGCTTTATCCATTTCTGCCACTGCTGTGCAGGGCCGAAGACCCGGACCTGGTCCAGTCCTCACGCCTGAAGGGTGGCCTGCAGCAGCGCCCCACCCCCGCCGCCAAGCCAATAGCCCCTACCACCTCCGAGCCACAAGCAGCCCAGCCCCCCACCCGCATGTTTGAAGACTGGCGGCCAGCTCCACTGCTGTGCAAGAGGTTTGATGTGCCGGATCCCTATGCTGGCGTGAAATGGCATGGCGATGCCGAGCGCTCACAGTTTCGGGCGATGTTTGATGGCCTGCAGGGCATTGTGCCCAAGGAAACAGGGAAGATGCAGTTTATGGCATCCGAGGGGGGGGCTGACCGGCGGGGCGGCAGCGAAGCTGCGGATGTGGCTGGCGCTTCTGCCCGTACATTTGCCAGTACTGGTGACAGTACTGTGGCCGGTACTGCTGGTACTGTGGGTGTTGAGGATAGTGGCGGCGCCTCAGACCCCAAGGCATCTGCCGCTCGCTTCCTCGAGTCGCTGGAGAAGAAGATGAACATCGACCCGGCGGAGCGGGCGCCGGGGGAGGGGGTCGGGGCAGGTGATGGTCAGGAGGTACCTGCCACGCAGCTGATTGAGCGCCCGGTGGATCTGTTCAAAGCCATCTTTGAAGATGAATCAGAGAGCGAAGATGATGATGATGATGGTGGTGGTGATGATCAGAAGCAGGAGCGGGAAAGAGAGGCTGGAGGTGAGGGAGGAATGGAGAATGATGGCGTGGGCAACGGGGACAGTCAGTCGATGCATCAGGGCGTTGATGCTGAGGAGCAGAGGCCATGGCGCCATGCGGAGGGCCGCAGAGGCGGGATTGCCGGGGAGCATTCGGACGTAGTCCATGGCGGGAGCGAGAGGGGGTTGGCGGATGCTGGTGTGGGCCTTGGGGCCCGTCGGAGGCCATCCAGGTGGGAAGGAGCGACCCAAGCGGAGTCTCGATTTGATGATCCAGTCGATCGGCCTTTCAGGGATGTTAATGACGAGTCAGGGCCCCGTGGCACCGAACGTGGCCATTCTGGTGACCAGGGCGATCGGCATCCGTGGCCCTCGGCTGCCAATGATGGGGGGAGAAACGGTTCAAGGGCTGTGGGAGTCGATTTGTTGCCATCCAGGGATGGGTCCATTTCTGGCGTGCGCTTCGTCGATGCCAAAGACGCAGCTGGGCCTGGGGCTGGGTCTGGTCACAAGCGGCATCGGGAGCAGGGCCGGGAAAGGTCAGATCTGGATGAGTCATCGCTGGATGGTGGTTCTGGCCACAAGCGGCATCGCGCCCAGGGCCGATTAAAAACAGACCAGAATGAGTCATCCCTGAGAGGGGGCTCACATGGAGATAGGAGGCCGTCCAAGAAGTCAGGTGGGTCAGGAGGGGGCAGAGCTGGCCCGTGGGACAGTTCGCTAGGCGGCAGGGATTGGGTTAGGCAACCCACGCATGCCGATGAGAGGCCTTTGAAGAGGCGGGTGAGTGGGTCAAGATCGCCAAGCCGTGGGAGCGAGTATTCGGATCCACAAAGCGGCGGATCAGGCCCGGGGGGCGATGTGAGTGCAGAGGGGCGGGGAGATGGGCATGTGGGGAGGGGGTTGTCGTGCACGGAGCTGAGCCGCCTGCTGAGGGTGCTCAAGAAGGACAAGTCGAAAGCGTCCGAGGGGCGGGCCAAGGGATCCAGGAAGGAGAGGCGGAAGGGGCGGAAGGAGAAGAAGGGGAAGGGCAAGAAGAAAAAGAAGCACAAAGCGGGGAGGCGGGGCCCAGATAGGCGCTCGTCCACGGATTCCGAGAGCGAGGGGTAGCAACGAGGACGCTGGGCGAATGGACAGCCACCTTTGCTTTTTGCGTTTTTCGTTTGCGAAACATCGCATCAACAACAAAACTACCAGTTTTGTTTGGGTGCAGGGCCATTAAATACTTGAGTACTGGGTGTTTGGTATTTGACTTGGTGTGTGAAAGGGCCAGTAGCGCATTCGTGATTTGGTGTGAGCAGCAGAAAATGCGGCCATTGCTCCGTTTCGGTCACCTTGTTCGACCTCTAGCGAAGGGGCGGCAAAGGGGAAGGGTATGTTTGTTGCCTTATTGTGCTGTTCAGGTCTATCATTCGTAGATGGCGCAAAATGAAATGACAGCCTGGTAATGAGTCGATTGGAGCAAGCAAGAGTGCTGCGATCGCCAAATGGTGCTTGAGCTCCACTGTGTTTTGTGAAAACAATTGCAGGAAATTTTTTGATAAGAGCACAACACAAAACAAAAAAGAAATAGAATAGAAACTGGCAAGCAGAGAAGCCGATTCAGCACGTCATCGTTAACCCCTGCGCGCAATCCTCCTACTGGCAAACGGTGGATTCCCTTTGATTCCTTTTGCATAAAGTATTACCGTTCACGTCATTGGTCTGTGTATGCCGGTGCAAACGACTTGCAGCACGGCGAAAACGGCCACTCGGAGGGCACAGTCACACTCCGGCACGAACCCCATGGGCGCTTACACAATGTGTTACATATACACATCGATCACCTCATGCGTTTTACGTGCGAATTAGCAGGCCCATCTGCTCGAAGGCCGCCAACTAGAAGAACATTCAACCTGCCGCCCCAGCTATTCTGGCTTGGCCATTCCTCGAGTGAAATCCCACGATCTTCCCATGAATATTCTAATCCCACAACTAATTGCATTTCCTCCCAACTCCCTGATCGCAAACGTCCAAACCGGCGCCCTGGACCCATCCGCCCGCCGACATTCCTGGGGCCCGTACCCGCTACCCATCTTCCTCGCTCTCTCCTCTAACCCCCTCTACCGCAGCTCCCTCCAACTGCGCCACTATACGCCTCGCTCTCATTCGTCCATAGCCTTCCCTTGATCATCCCATGGTACCATTCCCGGCCCCCCTTCCTATATCTGTCCACATGTTTGCTCATCAGTACTGCGAATGTTATTAATGGAGAATCTTACTGGCCCAGGTACACAAGGCTGGTCGGCTGGCGCGTGGACTTTGCAAGATCAGGTCAGTCAATTTGACGCCGGAATCGGATGCCATGGTCGATTTTCGGTGAAATCGACCACATCAAGCATCGCTGGGTCTCCGGAGTAGCATCAGGAGATGGGTACATCCATTCCAACAATGAGGTCTGCTCCCTGGAACGCTGTAGCGCGCTTTTGTATGGGACATCCTTTTTTCTTTTTTCGTGTCTTTTGAATTCCAATGTATTACATGTTGATCTGAGCAAGGAGCTCCCCCGCAAAACATCCTTGAACGTGTTTGTCAGACGCCTGTCACATGTTGTTGCACCATTCAATGAGCACCTGAACGTTGGACCACCGTTGCTCACTGCTCATTCACAAGATTTGCACGAACATGCTGCTGGTTGAATGGATGCACCAATGCAGCGTATCTTCAAGAGAGCAATATACAAAAGAACGGTCCTGGTCTCGGCCCAAATCCGCCCACACCTTCCATGGGCGCCTCCCCTGCTCACGACTTGCTCGCGGTATCCGCAGGTGGCTTGCAAGCCTTTCACGTCCCTAAAGTGCCTGGTGGTGCGGCTCGCACACTCCTTGCGCCCCGTGCGTGCGTAGGCGACAGTCGGTCACTTGTTGAACAGACAGCACAGGGTTGTTGGTGGCGGCCAGCCGCTGGAGCAAGTTTGCCAAACTTCCAATGTCGCGCTGCAGAAATGCGTGTGCATGTGCGCCATTCGAGCAAGCATGGCTGCAGAAGGAATGTGTATTCTTCATGGAAAATCCTGCTGGCCTTGGTTCAAATGTCTGGTCGGCAGTAGCGTGAACTTTGCAAGGTCAGGTCAATCAGTTAATCTGACACCAGATTCGGATGCCATGGTCGATTTTCGGTGGGCGCGATCGCATCAGTCATCACAGTGCAGCGGAGCGTCCGAAGCAGCATCAGGAGAAGGCACGTCTATGCTCGACACTGACGTCAGCCCACCAGAATGTTCAACATTCGATGTTCTGCGCTTATGTAGGCCAGACATCCTTCAACTTGCAAAGTCGTAAACTATTAGACTCGTCAGATGGTGGCCGGACGTTTTCGCACCATTCCGTGAGCAACTTCATGCTAAAGGTCCGTTACAACTCATCCACAGTACTTGCAGGAATGTTCTATTAGTCAGCTGCACGACTAAAGGGATGCGCTGATGCAACGGATTTACAAGAAATCAATAAATACACAGAAGCGGCCCTGCACTCCACCACAGCCTGCCCACACCTTCTGTGGGAGCCTCTGCTCTCAACTGTGAACAAAGCACTGGTCAAACCTGCTGATGAATGTACAGCCGAAGCACTGAAAGGACCAGTGCCTTAGGCAGTGACCAAAGTGTTTTCCAGCACGGATGTCGATGCTCGAAACGTACAATTGCCAAGACATGGTATCTATTCTATCTAATCTGTGAATAACCCGACAGTCTACTGCTCTTATTCTATGACGGCTTTGTCTGGTAGGCGAAGGGTGGCAGCGCGTCACGTCCAAGCACGACCAACCCACCCCTTGTGAGAAAAAGGGAAAAACTAACAGCAACAAGAAAACATGCAGAAAATGGCAACACAAAACAGAAGCACGTAGAAATAGAGATGTGCCCCAGAACCAGCGTGCCGCTCCCTTCCACCCACCCAACACACGCCCCACCCCAATAAAGGAACTAAATAAGAGAAGAACTAAGGGCTAAATCTAAAACCCAAAATCGGAAAACAAGGATGGAAACAGAGGTAAAAGCTGAAAACGGCCCTCATGGGTACACAATGGTGGAGTAGTTGGGCCAGTGCCCACGTACCGAATGCAAATTTGGCAGCGCTCTCAGCCCCTCCGTCGCCGCCTCTGTCACGTTGTCGCAGTGTGCAACATTCACCTCCGTCAGCGAGGTCAGCCCCCTTATGGACCCCATTGACTCGTCGCCACCATTCATCTCCATCGATCCGGTCAACCCCGCTAGCGCCTGCACGCCTGCCCCCCTCAACCCATGGCACCCCACCAGGTTCAACACCTTCAACAGGGTCATGGCGACTACGCCGGCAAGCCCAGCATCTGTAAGATCGTCCCCGCAGCCAGCCAGGCACAATCGAGTCAGACCCTTGAGGCCCAACAGGTGGCACAGGTGGTCGTCGCCCATGCCGGTGTCGTGCAGGCGCAGCTCCTCTAGCGCCGATAGGCGGCCGAGAGCCTCGAAGCCCTCCAGGGTGATGTGCGGCCCAGCATAGAGTGCCAGTTTGGAAAGCCGGGGCAGGGATTGGAGGCACGCGACCCCTTCCGCTGTGATCGGCAGCTTGATCATCAGCTTTGTCAATCTTGTCAAGTCTTTGAGGACCTCCATGCCATCGTCCGAAAGCTCCTCGCCCACAAGCCCCAGCTCGCGCAGGGAAGGCAGAACAGCCAAGCCATGGAGGGCCTCATCAGAGAAGTCGCTCATGCAGCCACCCACAACCAGCTTGGTCAGCTGCGTCAGGGGCCCCAGAGACCAAATAACTTCGTCAGTGATGACATCAATTGCATCAGAAATTAGCACCAGTTCCTTGAGGCCTGTCAGTTCGCCCAGGCACTCCAGGCCATAGGTGGTGCAGCACCAGCACGTCCACAGATGCAAGCTGGCCAGGGTGGCTATGTCGGTGAGAGCGCTGACGTCCTCACACGCAAAGTGCCCGCAGAGGGATAGCTCCTTGAGGCGCGGCAAGGACTTGAAGCTCACTGCGCTGTCACTCATCTTTCTCGATGTGAACGGGTCCTTGCTCAACAGCCCCAATCTGGTCAGCCCAGTCAGCCCCGTGAGCGCCACAACCCCATCATCTGTGATCTCATCGCACTCATTGAGATCGAGATCCTGGAGGTGTGACATCTGCGCCAGCCCCTCAGCACCCTCGTCCGTGATCTGGCACCCCACAAACCCCAGTCTGGTCAAGCGGGTCAGCGACCTGACGTAGGTGACCGCCGTGTCCGTGATCCCCTGGCAGTAGCTGAAGCACAGTTCCTTGAGGCCTGTAAGTTCAGCCAACCTTGCCACGCCTTGATCTGAAAGACGACAGGTGCTGGACACTGGGTGGGCACTGATGTGGAGCCTACGGATGGGCAATAAATGCATTGATGAGCCATTCAGATTTGCCAAGAAAATTATATTATGTAAATGATGCAAGAATATAAGAAGTTTGGGAAGATAAATGAATAAAGAATACAAGAAACATACAGAATGTGGTGCACAACAGATGTCATGAATTTTTTGTTTCGTCTTCAACTGCCTTCACTTCACTCGCAGAGCGGCAACCCAGCACCATTCTGCCAACTTCCAAGGAAATGACAAGCATCAAACACTACTTTTTGGATAATAGGCCAACGTTTAGTACTTTATAGTACTTGGTTGTACCAAATTTTCTCGATAATGTGTTATCATGCCATCTACAGCGATTGTTCTGTAATGTTCGGGTTTATGCACTGCACATATGCGCACATGTGTATCGGAGTGTGCAACCGTCTCTGAGTACTAATGGACTGGAATACACCTCTCCAAAACTGCTGCGCTAGGCGCCAAGGCAGGCCCCCGGATGTGTGCTTTGTGCAGGGCAGGAGCTTTGAATGCATCTTTTGAGCTCGCTATGCGTGTGGGGACTGGTTGCTGCCTCTCTTGAGCGCTGCCCGCGCAGCTCGACGGATCAGATGCCTCTGCAGCCCAGCAGAGGCAGGATGCCTGCGTGCTGGGACCACCTTGCCCCCCCATGATTGGGGACGGTCAGGTTCTGACAGGTGTGGCGGCCCGATCCGGTACCGGTTGGTGAGCATCTTGAAACGGCCTTTCCAGCATTGTGGCAGTTCATCTTTGTTTAGTCAAGACGTCCATCAAATCTAAAAAATGGGCCACGGTAAAGCACAGAATAAAGCACTGAACACATGCCCAGCTGCCTGTCCTGTCAACACACTGGGCTGCCACAGCATAAATTGTTTGTATAGTGCTATATTGTTTGTATAACTATTTTGCGTTTACCATTTCTATGCATCTGCCGATGCTATATTGCACATGCCTGAAGGGGTATTGCATCCCACCTGACAATCGATGAGCAGCTGGACAGGAGGCTTAAGGCCTCATCCGTCAGTGCTGCTTTGCTGTAGTCCTCCAAATCGAGTTGGGTCAGTGATGAGAACTTGCCCAGCGCATCCAGGCCGTGGTCTTGCGCGCCCATAGGATACTGGAAGAACAACACAAACAGACTGCACTGTGAGGTTGCGGATAAATGTGGGGATCTGGCAGCATCATATTGAGACATGATGCCCTCTTGTGGTGCCAGATACACATAGATGTTGCAAATTGGATATCGGATTGCTGGACATTGGACATTCGATATTAGATATCCCTTCGTATACAGATGCTATCTCAATCGCCATCACCATCAAAGTGCCAAATTCGTCTATTTTCGATGGTGCTTACAGTTTATGTAATCAGCTTTCTGGGCACCTTCAACATCTTGCGCTTTCTGGCGAAGTGCTCAAGGCCCATGTCTCCATCCTTAAGACAGAGTGACATACTCAATGAACACGACATTGTGGAAGTTTTGGTATTAGCAATAAGTGTAGTTGGCAATCGCAAGTAATCATGTGTTACTGTTGTGACCATGATCATCATTATGCACCATGACTGTTGGTACAAACAAATTTTTGGCCTTGCAGTAGTGGGAAATTGGGGCACACCTAAAGCAGTGGCAAGTATGAGGTTGGCATGTACACAGCCCCAAAAGTTGCATACCCCAGTACATTGTTCCAGATGTGCCTATGTACATCCATTTTCAGATCTTCAAACAGTCAAACTTGCACACAAACTGGTCAACCACATTACACCCAGGACTGCCCATCATTCACGTTTGACACAGCACAAAATATTGTGCAGTCAAGTATATATATAAAAACTCACATTTGGATACACTTCCAAAATATGCAGAGCATCGACCGTGACACACCTGAGGAAATGCAAGCACAAAGTGAAGAATGCACCTGTGTGCCCGCAACAAACCCTCGTACTTGTGTAGCTGCTCTCTGAGAAGCTTGAGTGCAACATTGGGCAATGCATTGTTGCACACATAGCGTATTGGGATGTGAACAACAGAAACCCAGAACTTTAACGATGAACGCCCTACCTGCACTCTGAGGTGTGTGACTCTGTCAAATTTTGGCGCCAGAAGGTCAACCATGGCCCGCACGGGCGCGCCCCCCCATGGCATCAGCTGGTGGGTCGCCTGCATAGCACACCTGCACCCACATCAGATTGGCATGAAGCCCAGCGCAAACAAATTTACACCTACAGTACTAGCACGTTCAACCAATGAAAGGGCACAAATGCCCCAATACTTCATCACGAATCCTTAGCAACTGCGCCTCAAGGGGCAACCACGCCAGATCGGCGAAAGGTATCGGTTGAAACTGCCAAGATGCACACAACAATCCCGGTACTTTGTCACACTTGTTTTGCACCTCCATGGGCAACCGATGTGCATACTTTGTCAATCGGGGTAATAGTATATCATGGGCCACCATAGATCACGATGAATTAGGGCGGGCATGGGGGAGGGGTGGGCGGTGGTGGGGGTATTACATATACAACCAAAGATGTACACAACAACCCCAGGACTTGTTGCATGCCCTTCTTACCTCTGTGGCCCACTGATGCCAGTGCCAACTCACAAGGCGGGCTGTCTTGATGACTTCCATTGCCTGTCGTTGACTGTTACTGACTTCCACTGCCACCTTGACCCCATCAAGCAAATGGAATGGCAGGTTGCCCCAGGCAGAGCGGTTGTGCCAGTAGCTTGTCTGCAAAAGCACCACAGATTACATTCTGAATTGAATTTTGACTTGTTGGTTGCCATTTCAGACAAGCACCGACAGGCATGACCACATGCATTTGAGAAACAGGGAACAGAAATGCTAAGCTGCATCGGCCCAATGGTGGGTCGCAGTGTGTGGTGGGTCAGTCCATCTGGTGGGTACGTTCATCTGGTGGGTCAGTCCAACTGGTGGGTAAAGCTGGGGCAGCTCTTCCTCTACACAGATTGAAGACACCTGCCACACTAACGACTCCACACACACCAGCCTTACAGGTGCAAGGCACCCATGTCAAACATCCAGTGCCAAACCAATCCAATGTTCATCCAATGAACGTCATCCAATGTTCCCAACGTCAAACAACGAAGTGCTGGGCCCAGTGCTCATGTTGCTCCAGAAGGGGTGCCTTTGAGGATTCAAAAAAGCTTTGAAAGACAATGAGTCAAGCATGTCAAGCATGAGTCAAGTCCTCTAAGCTGCAGGCGTGCCATGCCCAGGGACACTTTGCAAAGCAACCTGCCCTGTGGCTGTGCTGAGCTGCGCCACCGCAGCACCACTAGCCGCTAAAAGCGCCCTAAACTCACCCCACCTCCCCTCAATATTCTGCATCATCCACAGGAGCTCCCAAAACTTGGAGGAGCACCCCTGTGCCTTCATGGGATGTTAAAACACACCTCGACCAACACCCCAACATCCGCCCTCTTTCTCTTTATAACAAAATCTTGCCCAACACTCAGCACACAACGCACACTTGCTTAGCAAGGGGTGCCCTCTGCGTGACCTGTCCCTCTTTCTGTCCGTAAAAAATCTTGCCCCGACAGCCGGCATCCCTGGTGGTTTTCCATCTTCACCGTGGGCGACGCTTGAGCATGTTGCCATCCCCAGCAACGCCTCTCCGCATAATAGTAAACATTTTGGTCTGCATATGTTACACTTTTTGTAACAAAAACTTTGGTGTTTCGCGTGATACACATTTTGGTCGCCATCCTTCAGGACGCCTCTCCACATGTATATGCACTTGTGTCTCTGTGTGACACATTTTGGTCGCCATTCTTCGTGCAGCCTCTCGCGGCGAAAGCCCCCTCGACCGCATCAGCCCAAGCCTCCGATCGCCGGCCGCCCATCGCCACGCAACCGCAAAATTCCCGCCCCTCGCAAGCGCTCCGCGCCATTTTGTCTCCGCCATTTTCCCCGCCCCATTCTCTCTCATCGCCGTTTTCTCTGCCCCATTCTCTCTCCCCCCCAGTTGCTCTTCCAGCCATTTTCTCTCCCCGTCATATTCTCTCCCCGCCATGTTCTGTCCCCGCCATTTCCTCTCCTCCCATTTTCTCTCCCTACCATTTTTTAACCGGCGTCGCTCGAGCTGCCTGCGGGTCCCGCGCCTCCATGGCCGCCCAAACGCCCTCGCCCAGGCAACGGGGATCGAATCACTTCGACTCACAATCGATTCTCGATTTTCGATCGATTTGCGTTTTTTGTATTCCACATTTGTGATGTAATTCCGCATTTGCAGTTTCTGCTCTTCGATATTGCACATTTGTAGGCACAGAAGCCGGGCGAGGCTTGAGGTCCTCACCTGTGCGCCATCCTCCACCGGGCCAGCGGCAGTCTGTCGCAGCTCGACATCCTCGATGCAATCCATTGTGCCTCCTGATCCACGGGGGCCGTCAGTGATGGCGGCGTTGGACTCCGCGTTAGGCGGTCCGCGTTGGGGCCCTTTGGCGGGGCGCGGGGATTGCTCGGGAGGGAGGGAGAAGGGGTTTTAGGGCATGACGGGGGTGACGCGTAACTCGGGCGCATAAAAAAACAACACAGAGTTTTTTGGGCCAGGATAAATGAATGACTTGCGACAAAAAAAGCACAGAGGTTTCGTGGAGCATTAGTGAATGATTCTGGGAAAAGGCACCGATGCTTGTGAAGGATTGGAAAGTGAGCTGTGAAAGATTTATGAAAGGGCATGAGCGGACTCTGTTCCCACCAGGCTCACTGCTGGCTTGCACTTCTCATGAGAACCGCCCGCTGCTCCGTGCGCACGCGCACCACCTAACAGTGTCCATTTCGCCCAGGCGGATGGCCTGACAAGGAAGCTCGGATGGGCGAAAAAACACCATGCAGTACTTCTACAGTACTTCCGCAACATGTCCGCAGCATTTCCGCGGTTTTCCCCGCACAAAAATCGAATTTCACCGAAGAGGATAAAAAAACACACGTGCCCGACTGCCAGTGACACGAGCGGCCCCACCCGCCAACCTCCGCGCTCCCCTCGTGCCTCTCCGCACCTCCCAAGCGCCCCCGGCCGCCACCCGCCACGCTACCACCCCACCGCCACCAGCGCTTGACACCGCGGGACCATGCAGCTCTGGTCCAAGGCGCTGAAGGCCGCGCTGTGAGTGGCCCCTGCCCCCGCATGCCAAGAATCCGCCCCCCCCCCCACCCCACCCCGCCCGTTTTTGCGCCGCAGCAGCCGACAATTGCCGCGATTCTTTCTGGCGGGAACGCACGGAAGCTCGGTCTGAATCTTTCTGTTTCTTTGTTTCCGGTTGGGGAGACGTCGGCCACGGCGGCGATTGGCCTCTGGGGGTCTGGTCACGCGGCGGGGGGCCCATGGGCGCTATCGCTGGGCTCGATGTTGGCGCGCGGCCGCCCGAGGCGGAGATTCGTCAAGTCCTTTGGCGGCCTGCTTGAGCAGTTTTTGGAGTGTGGGCGCTGCGGCGCTGGCAGAGACCCGCGGGATTTTGGAACCTGTTTTCGGGGGGCGTCCAGCGCACCCCTTCGCGGAGGCCCGTCCTTTCGGCGGGGAGGAGAATCTGCCACGAAAAAGGAAAGAGGGGGTCGGTGCCTGAGCGAGAGCATCGCGAGACTCGGGCTGATGCGAGGCGGGAGTACCTGTGCGTGCGACGGGGATTGGGGGCACGGCAGGGTGGGGAATTCGGGCTCAAAACGACTAGGGGCGCCGAGCGTGCCCTCTGTCGCCTCGGCCGCACGCCGGGGATCCCTGCGCACCCATCCGGAAGGCAGAACGGCACTGGTTTGCAAGCGGCTTATCTTGGTCTGTGTGCTTTGTGGGGAGCGCATTTTGGCCAATGTGCGTGCGGACTTGACCCCCGCAGCTCCAAGTGCTGCGTCCTGCGACACTTCGTTGAATGCAATCAAAACATTGCACACGAGGGCGCCCACAACAAATCCATATTCTGTGCTGCCCCGCTACTCTTTGGAGTCCTTCTCTGGTCAGTGAAAGGCGATGCAGAGGTGGGCGCATGTGACACCCACACACAACACACCACACACTCCTTCAGAGTGCCCTTTTTCGAGCAAATGCATTGAAAAATCACTTCGATGTCCTTTGCATTTCCAAAAAAAATGGGCGAAATAGATAGAAAAAAAGAATCGTGGAAATAAATCGTGGAAATCTTCTTTCCAACTCTTATGGGCGAAACAGTCCCTCGCCTGCCTCTTGGGCAGCGTAAGTCACTGTTCTCTTTTACGCGAATCATTCCAATGTGTTTGAAGATCCCTGAATCCTCTTCCACCAAGCAGCACAATTTCCAACACCTGTGCTCAATATTATGTGTCTGGCATCCAATCAGCGGCGTAAGCCCTTTGGTGCAAGCTCTAAGCTTGTCATCAGCTTGCCAGTTCTCTTTCTTGATTGTTTCACCAGACTACTATTTGTACAGTATTTGGTGATGACGAAGCGCTGCCCTTGCTCAGGTCAGGTGATAACAGGTGGCACGATTGACATGCAGTCCCATCGATTGCAACTGGCATAAACGCACTGACGATCTGAGCCTTAATTCCTTCGGCTGTTACACAGAACACAACAGCATCGTTTGGGAATATTTCCATAGTTGTATCATGCAGTACTTCAAGTATTACGGATTCCTTGAATTGCAGTGCCACAAGAAACTCCAGTGAAAACATAGATCCCTTGCAACTTGCGTGCAACGGCAGCCACAGCAGGATGCAATCATTGTTTGTTGGATGTCCCAAGGTCGTTATTCACTCACCAGTGGCATAATGGAATGGCAAGTGGTTACTATACATAGGTAACACAGCACTTGATGCTTCAGTAGACCTACTGCAGTGCCTAGTACCTCCCAGTATTTGATCCTTGTGCTTTGTCAAGCTCACTTCGGCCAAAACAGCATTCTGCCTCATTCTGAGAGCCTGTTATGGTGCCTCCAGGTTTGTGCTGAGCCTATTCGTCCCTGCGTGGAAGTCCTTGGAGGCCATCGAGTCACCAAACTCTATCGATGACCGGCAGGTGAGACAATATTTATGAGCACGTTTTGTTTTTCATGCTTATAAGTATTTGTTATTTTTTCAGATGGCCTTGCCTCAAAAGAGTCTGGCTGGGGCCCATCCTTGCCACAAATCCTGGAATTTCGTTTGTTGAATGATCGCAGAATGGACGTGCGTCATTTGGTGGTATTTATCAAATAGCTTCGCACAGAGCACTTCACATATGCTTTCGATCGCAATCGTTGGCAAAAGCCACTAGAGACACATCCGTTGCACCCTGCAGGCGATGATGGATGCGGACATGTCCTATCAATGTTTTGCCAACACCTGCTCATGCAGCCTTTGCGCCTGCAGCTTGTTTGCCAGAAAAGGTGTTGCAATATTGCGAATGACAAACTCCTTGATTCCAGCGATTTGTGCCCTGTATGAGGTTCAGAGTCGCACAGTGACTCTGCATGGACTGTGAAGAATGCCAGTTCAGTTCTGTTCAACTTGGTTGCAATGCGCCTGTATTTTACGCACACGTGACAGCCTCACCAGCCATGTACGTTGCTGTGTGAATGCAAGCAGCAGCACAGGAGCCAGTACTTTGTCAGCTCATGTGCTGGTATTGCAATCCTGTACTTTATGAGGATAATAGCAGACTCCCAGTACTTTGTCAGAGCATGTAGCGGTGTTGTAGAACTTTGTGTTGACAAAGGAGTGCATTCCCCCGTAGTACTTTTATGAGTTCATATGGTGGGTTGCAGCCAAGTACTTCATGCAGACAAAGAGGTGCACTCCATGCCTGTACTTTACCAAAACCTTGGGTTCTGTCTCACCCCAGCACTCATGAGGACAGCATCGGGCATTTATTCACAGACTTTAGCCACATGTGCAGCCATGTCACAGCCCAGCATTGTATGATGATGAAGTGGTGCACTGATGCCCAGTAGTTTACAAGCACACAGGTTGGTGCTGCAGCCAAACATTGTAGGGCCCCTGACTTTTGGCGCTCTCTGACGCAGTGGCTTTCGTACTGGCTGGTCTACGCCATCACAGCAATGCTGGAAAGGGCCTTGTGGCCCATTCTGCAGTGGTGAGCACCTCCGAACAGCCACGAACCCCATTGTGGCACTTGCACAGGCTGCCCACATTATCAACTGTCACCCATTCTATCCCCACTCTGCCCCTTCGTCGCTGGTTGCCCTTTCTTTGCCCTTTTGTTACTCATACTTCCTTGTTGCTCATGTTAGCACATGCTCTGCTTGGAGCACATCATATTCTGACCAGCATCAAGAACAACAGCAACCAACTTTGATGTACCTTGCTACCCCTGTCACACCTGCTGCCTCCTGTTAACCTTGTTGCCCAGGGAACTTCGTAGTCTGAATAGCAACAAAGACGAGCCTCACTGCCTGATGTCCTTGTTGCTGTCGTTGCTCCTGTCTGGCCCGTTTTCCTTGGTCGGGAAGGGTGTGTGTTTGCCTTTATCTTGCCTTTGTCTTGTTACTCTTACCCTTTGACGGAAATTCCTTGCCATGTTATACATAGTTACCATTCTACCTATGTTGCTGTCGGCACCCTTACCCCAGTAGTTAACGCATGAACCTCCCTTCCTCTGCTGCAGGGTGCCCTTCTACATGGAGGTGAAGGTGGCAATCAGCGCCTGGCTCGTGATGCCCCAGTTTAAGGTGCGCTTTCCCTGATACTCAGGGCTTTATGGTAATGATCACTTTTATGACATGCTGTACTGTCGTGCAGTTTGGTGGGAACACAGGTCGCAGGTATCAAGGATAGACACACCGGTGGTTCTTCGGTTTGATGCTTTGTGGTTTTCACGGCTTTGGGCTGCTGCAAAATAATCGCCCTCTAAGAAGTTCTGCCCCACAAGCCACATAGAGAACAACAAAATGTGCTGGTCATGTTCTGCACACAGAAGAACGACGAAATGAAACGTATGAATTGTACCAGCCACTCTCTTCTCCAGCCAACGTCTGCTTCTTCAAAGGCTCCATGGCTTCGCACCCATCCACCCCAGCGCACTCCAGCAACACCTAACCTGCTGGAAAGGGGCGCCCTTCAATCATTCCATGGCGGCAATGGCTGTGAAGACACCACAGCGCGGCGGGCTCCGTGTGGGTCAGTTTACCTCCACATGGATATCCAGCCTCCACATGTGTGCAACCTGTTCACTTGGGGGCCAGAAAACGGCAGCGTTGAGGAGCACTTATGTTAGGAACAGCGCGTGGTCAATGAAAGCGGCTGCAGGCGCTGCAGAGCACTATACCGTACTTTGGAGTCATGTTTATGTTGAGTGCAGAAGATGGTGCAATGGGCACATTCTGCCAGTCCAGGGAGAAAGAACGACGCCATGCAGGCCTCAAACAGCAAGTTCTGCGGTGCAGAGCGATGGACATGGCCATACATGACATCCAAAGCGCTGTTCTCTGCAGTTTGCATTTCAGGGTCACAGGGTGGAAATTCGCAGCTCCGTGAGTCACTGGCCAAACATTTGTGGGGCAGGGAAATCATTGGACCAACAAGGTCACAGACAAATGCTGTCGCAGGTGTGCTGAACGAAGACAACTCAGAGAATGTTCGTCTCTGAAGTTTTTGTCCAGCACAAAATTGCTTTAGTTCAGTTTTTTTTTCCGGCTCAGATTCATTGAATTGTCTACTTATTTTCATTTCTGTGGTACCGCCTATTTCCATGACTTTCCTATCATGTATTTAGTGCATTGCACTCCCTTGGCCGCAGGGCGCCCTGTACACCCTGCAGCTGCACGTGCTGCCCCACGTCCTGGCCTTAAGGGACTACCTCCGTACCATTCCGGCGCTGCAGGAGGCCCTTGGGGGCTCAGATGGCGCTGACTGGTCAACACCAAAGTCAATGCCCACATCGCCGCTGAGTGCCCGCTCGTCCACCGACATCGCCGAAAAGCACGCCCAGGTGACATTTGAGCACAGTACTCAAACTTGACTGGTAGAAATGCTCCAGGACTAGAATTTTAGGTGGGATACTTCATCTGGGAGTTCCACTGTAATTGCCCTGCTTCCAGATCTGAGTGTGCTAATTTGTTTAGCGTTGTGTGTGTCCACTTTGCTTTGAGCTATTTTGCGATGATGGGCGCATCTCCATCCAGAGCGTGTGTCTGAGAGTATCCATTTGGTATTGTGTTGTTGCATGTCGTGATTCTACTGTCGAAAGATCGTATTGTTCTATTATAATACTCAGGTCACCACACGTCGCGAGCATAACTGCATCACTTTGCATCTCGTTCTTAAGTAGTCTTGTCAACTATTTCGACGGCGACAATTGCTATACCCAGCTGTCTTTGCGCGCCTGTGTTTTCTCAAACCCGTTTGCCATCAGTAGGCCGAGGCCCTGCTGGCCCAGGGGCGAAGGGTGCCTGACAGCAGTCCCCCCAGTATGTTTTCCAAACCCTTCTGATTTTTTGGATCCATGCGTTTTTCAACCCACTTTTATCGGCTCCAAACGGAGGCCGAGGCCATGTTGGCAGAGGCACGCAGAGCGCTTGATACCAGGCTTGCCAACATGCATTGCACTCCCTTACGTGTTTATGCCCCTTTTCACGCCCCGTTTTCTGTTTCCACGCGCCTTTTTTTTGCATCCGTGTGCACTTTAACCCGATTTTTTATCCGCCCCAAATGCAGGCCGAGGCCTTGTTAGCCCAGGCGCGGAGGGTGCTGGACAGCAGGCTGACCAGCCTGGAGAGCGCCAAGGCCAGGGGCAACGTGTTCGAGCTGAAGATGGCGGAGAAGGCGCTGCACAAGTCCATGGAGCGTCTCAACAAGGTGATATCTAAGGGTGCCGCGGAGGATTCTATCAACAGGCACGGCGCGGTCAACAAGCAGGGTCTTCTCAGCCCGCGCGACCGACACAGATTCGGGGCGGCCGCTGACGAGAATGCCGTGCCGAACGGGTTGTGACGGATTGCGCTGTTGGCGAGATTGTGTAACTGGTGAGAGTGTGTGAGTCGTTGGTTGTTTGTGCAGCGGTGGTGGTCGCGCAATGGGTGATGGCATGGTGTTGGATGACGTAATAATTGGTGGTAATAATTGGCCCCGTGGGGCAGGCAGGGGTAGAGGGGGCAGCGGCCTTGGCCCCGCCTAATTTGTGCTTGTCGTTCCGAGTGCAGTGCTTTGTGCTTTTTCTGTGCCGGGTGCAGTGGTTTGCGGCTGTGCTCTGTGTGTTGGGGCGCACACGTGGGAGCTGTGCCGGGGAAATGAGCTTGACAGAAACATGATGGGATGGAGGGCAAGGACAGCAAGCACCTTCAGTGCAAGTCCGAGGGGTGTGAAGTTAACTTGGTATGCATTGGTCAAAAGCCTAAGTTCATTAGTCGTCAACTGACGACAATTGGGCAAGTGTGTGGTTCCGGGCAAGGGGGTTGAAGCAAGCTGTGGCATATTGGTCATCGGCTGGAGGCTCTTAGTCATCGTCTGACGGCGGCACTACCCAGTCTGTTGGCACAGTGGACACGTCGCAGACGTGGCAAATCTGTTGACTTTGAAACAAGGTTTGCCTTGGGTTTGGACCGATGCCTCAATTGATGGCTCAACTTGGAATCCTGACGCTGGTTCATCAATGGACAACAGGTCACTGACAGTGGTTGGCAAAGATGCTTCAAAATTGGTGTGCAGTCTCATTGCCCTGGCCCCTGGGCCCACGGGCCTGGGAGCCCGGTGTTGTGTAGGGAGCTTGGAATTGGACTGAAGGTATCAGTTTGATTTTGCGATTTCACGCCGTTAGCTACAGCGGACAAATCGATATTGGATTTCAGCCTTCGGTACTCGATCCTCGATATTCGATCTTCTACTTACCGGACACTTTAGTTTCGACGTCCTGTTCATTGTCAAAGTCAGCCCGCGCTCCTGGACACTTGATTTTCGATTTGAACTGTCGATTCGGCGCTTTTCAACATGGGTTGTACGGCGGTGAGCGAAGGTATGGTTGTTGGGCGGGGCGGAGTCGACGGCGGCATGGCCCGTTGGGACAGCACTGTTTTCAGGTTTCTCTTCAACCGCAGTTTCAGGGAAGAGGTGGTCAACAAAGTACTATGAAGTACTGAGCCTTGTGCCATACTTTCCAGCAGTAGTGTATTTGGGGCTTGCAAGGGGTGTGGTGCGCAACAAGTGGGGTGGGGCAAGTGGAGCGCCTGTGGCCATGCGTGTATTATCATGATCTTGTAAATACTATTCTTATCCAAGGCCTTCCGTTTTGTTGCGGACGCTTCTGTTTCGAATGTCCACATCATGTTGAAGTCAAGCTGCGATGCAGCCTTTTTGCTGCAAGAATGCAAAAAAAATGCTGGAAAACTTGCAAGAAACGTCGTATTTACTGCAGATGTGGATTTGTGCATACGAAGCATGTTGGCTTGAGCATAGGCAACGCAGCTGTGAACTTGCGCAAGGACCCTGCGCTGCTGGTGCGTCAATGCCAAGCACCTTTTCTGGCCAACTTATTGGTTTGCTTTGTACGTTGTTAGCCCTGGCGAAGGCAAGTGAGCCCAGTACTTTAGACCAGTACATTATTCGGCGCTTGTTCATCGTCAGATGCCGCCGTCCCGGAACGCGTTACCTCCGCGCATCGGTGGCATGCGGGATGAAAAAAGAAACAGGTGGAGGAAAAACAGGGAACGGGTAGAAAAATCGCAGCGGGTGAGGTTCGAACTCACGCGGGAAAATCCCATGTACTTAGCAGGCACACGCCTTAACCACTCGGCCACCGCTGCTCACCGATGCTGATGGTTTTTACATTATATATAACAGTAAGTTCATGTATCCATCAATACGACACAAGTGCCCTAAATGAACAATTTAGTGCCGCTGATTAGTCAAACAAAGCCTCCATGTTTGCAGCGTTACATCCAATCAATTTCGCCCGTCTGGTTCCAAGAGCACAGCCTGGCAACTTTTTGCGCAGTACACGGGAGGGGGAGGGGAGGAAGGGCCCCGGCGGGCGGGGGCTTCAAAACACGACTGGCAGAATCGGGGCATCTTGGTCAGCGCACGCGCCGAGATCCGCGACGGGATCCTGCCGATCACCCGAGGTCGCCCGCGGCTCCGAGGGATGGCCCGCAGCGGGGCCGTCGCTCCGCTCTCACGCACCAAAGTACTGACGACGCGTGGCGCGGCCAAAGCACTGACGTGGCTTTCCCTGACTGCAAAGAATAAAGTATGTGTCGCACTCGCGCGTATACTTACTCGCGTTGCATACGCACGCGTCGTATGCGTCGTACCATTTGGCCCCCCTTCACCGACAGTGTCGACGCGACACCACAGCGCCGGCCTCCCGCAGCCCGACGCCACCCCACCCCCCGCCGGGATCATCCCACCGCTCCGCGCAGCAGTTCCCACCCAAGTTCCAGCCCGACAGCCACGTCACCCATCAGTCATATAACGTCACCTTTCCAGTACCGCCCGGCCATTACTGAGCCCCACTGTGGGGCGCCCGGTCCTTTATTCCCCCCATGTGGCCGCCCCCCACCCCCCGCGCCCACCGCACACCCCCAAAATATTCCCCAAGGCGGCAGGCAAAGTAACCGAAGATTCTCCCGACGCCCCCCAACCCACCAACGCGCCAAACCAACCCCCACCCCGGCACTCTCGAAACCACAACGTCGTTTTTCCTCCCACCGCATCCCACCCCGGTTCCCTCGCCCACAATCTGCGCCGCCGCGCCGATTGAAGGCGGCATCAAATCCCGGCGATCTGCCATCCCGCCTCCTGGCCCGGTGAGCAGGCGAGTCGAAGTGAGCCGAAGTGCGCCGGGCCCGCCATTGACCGGCTCGTTGACCGGAGGGGCGGCCGGCCGGCGATAGGCGGCCGGCCGGCGATAGGCGGCCCCGGCCCTCAGTGGAGATCGTCGAAAACGATTCTGGCGCCTCCCCACCCCATCCCCGCGACAGGCGCGACGATGGCGCTGCCCGGGTGGCGCGAAGACGCACGCCTGGCGCATGCTTTCCTGTCAGACGGGGTCGATGATCGGTGATTGACCATGCACGACCGGCATGAATTCTCATGCTGGGCCGCTCTTGGCATGCCGCGCCTCGCTCGCGGGGTTGATGCGACCTTCCGGGCGCTGGCGGTCCCGGGGCGCTCGGTAACGCTGGCGCCGGAGGGCGTAACGGCGCGCCGACGGGTGGCGCGAAATGGTTGCACGGCTGGCCGGGGGTGGTTCGAGCGTGACGGGCGGCCGGCCGTGACGCCTGTGGCGGGGGGGAAAGTCGGAAGGCGTGGCCGGGGCGCCGCAATGCAGTGCCGCCCACGCTCTTTGGCTTGCTTTTCGCCCGCGCGTTTCTTTTTTTTGCCGGCCCCGTGCGCGATTTTTTATACCCATCGTACTGCGGTTTGGCCCCCACGGGGGGGTGGGAGGGATTTGGGCGCTTGGTGAGCACTCGGCTGAGCTGAGAGGTTGACAAAAGTGCGATTGCCGAGTGTTGTCGTTGCTCGCGGCAGTGCAGGAGCAAAGTACAGGGGCGTAATTGCGTTTGTTTGGGTGGTTGAGGTGGTGCATGTGTGTGGTACTACTTGGGTTGAGAAGCGTATGTGTGGACAGAGCATTGGGCAGAACTGGTGCTACGCGGGCTGAGATGTTTTTATGAGTTTTAAGGAGTACCTGAGTTGTTTCCTAATCGCTTAGGGCTGTTGTTTGTTAGTAACTTAGGTTTTCTTTGCCGAGACTTGTTCCAGAAATGGATCAAAAGTAGGTCCCCTGCATCGAGAATTGCAGGTGGGGCTGAGGCTGAGGCCAACAATCAAAGTACACAGTACTTGACTTAGTTGGGATAAACATTTAATTTCCTTGTAATTAATCGTTGACGATGAACACAGTGGCAAAAGGAATTATAACAACAACGAAAAAAGACGGTTATAGTGATATCAATGCCTGGAATTGAAGTAGGTAAAGCTGCAATTTGCCCATGGCTCACCAGGTGATGACTCTCTGCGATGCACAGGCCTTCCTCTCATATGCTGTGCCACAGCAGGAGGGCTACCTGACCATCCAGGGGGGAAGCTAGAGGCACTAGTTGGGCAAGTGACATTCAGTGGACACCTGCAGCATAACTCATGTGGTACGGCACACTGTGGATTTCGGCATTGGATGCAGATTTGATCATACTCGTCAGCACCAGCGCAGCTTGAGACTGTTCAGTGGAGTGGAGGAGAATGAGACTTGAGTTCAAAGCAATCATGATTCTGGGCAGAGTAGGAGCAAGGTCAGAGTGTTGCGTACAAAATTCTGTACCAGCTTTGCCCCTGGGGTAGTTGGATTGAATATGATGTGTGATAAATTCAAGTATTTATTTTTGCCAATGTTTTATTTTGCCAATGGTTTATTTGATGATATGTAATGATAGAAATTTGGATAGTGATGGGAACTCACTTGTGGATATTAGCAGTGCTTAGCATTGCCTGTGCAACACCAGTGAAGCAAACAACAATAGCTGGCATATGTCTGTAATGTTTGACAAATTTAATGAATCGCAGTCAATCATCAAAATGCATGTTAAAATAAATGTGGCATTGTACTGTCATACTATAGTGGTCCTGCATCTACATGCAAGCATGCATATATCGACTTACAATGACTGAATCCCAGCAATCGATGCTACTTGGCACCCTAAGTGCAAAGGCATACCTAGTTTGGTTTGCTTGGGTGTGATTCGATGCTGAAGAACAAGAAACTCGGATCAGCCCTAGGCAGTCTCTGTGAAATAGAGTGGAACAGAACCTTTGCTTCAAGCCAGTTGTTGCAAATGGCTTGGCTGCCATTTACACAGTCAGGAATGCTCAATGTATCTTGATGACAGGTGGCAATAGTTGACTTCTGTGCAAGTACTGCTGTACCCCATGTTGTCTGCTGTGTGGCCTATTGTGTTGTTGCTTGCTCACACCCTCCCGCTGCTTTTCAGGTTGCATTGAGTCATGGCACAGCAGGTGGCAGACACCCTTGCCGCGATCCACAAGGCACTAGAGTACGTGCCCTATGTCAGATACAATGCGAGCACCATCCAGTTTCTGTGCAAACAGATGGAGAAGGTGGCGGCCTTGCTGGTGGCCCACCCAGATGGCTTTCCCCAACACGACGATGAGACAATGAGCATTCTGACTGAGGAGGTCAAGCACTGCAACACGTTGATCAAGCGGCACGGTGAGCCTTTCCGGCTCCAGTCGTTCTACAAGACCCACAACACGAAGACCAAGGTTGAGGAGGTTTGCATGAGGATGCAAGACTGCCTGAGTTTTCTGGGTTTGGAGAATGAAGACATACGCTCCATCCGCACGCAGGTGGACAAGAGATGCGTGGACAGTGACAAGAGGCGAACGGACTGGTTCCTGGCTTGCATCCTGGAGGGCGGGTTGGATGAGGAGGGGATCAGTGAAGAGGATCGGCTGAATCTTGAGGATCAGATCAGCAAGCACAGGGAGCGACTGAAGACTCTGAATTTCAGGATCAGGGATGAAGATGTCCAGCGGAAGGAGAGGCTTGGCACGGGGGGCTTTGGTGAGGTGAGGGAATGCAATATTGACTGAAATTGCCAAGAACAACAAGTATTTCCTCTGTGTGTGATAACCCACCATGTGCATTAACATTCTTTGGACATAGTATAAGACCTTGTGCTGAGAAAATCGGTCTGACACCACTCTTATGTATATATTGGAGGGTGTGTTTTGGAAACTGGCCTGTCATTGCCCAGCAACCACAAGTCATTTTATTGCATTTGTCACAAGTGGTGGAACACGTTGTTCTGGCTCTCAGAAGCATGACAATAATGGAGTGAGTGTGCATAGGATATCCCCAATGTGAATTCCATGAAATACATTGCAATGTACTTGCTGTTGCCCGCCCTGCGAACCATCTCCACTTGTAGCACATTTGTCCAAAACTAACTACAAATGTTTGCATTTGGAACTTGCTGTAAACATGAATAGGTGTTGAAACTCATATATTGTGCATCACCAAGAACTAACCATGATGAGTATTGAAATGTATATACTATGTGCCCTGCTGCAAATGGTGCTATTTGAGTGAATGTGCATTAACACCACATCAGCCAATGTTCTATCATACGAGTTTTCATCTAGTTTAGTGTATATGTGTAGCCCCAACAATGCCAAAAAAGGATATCTAATCAACACTTTGTTGAGCCTGCCGGCAGTTATTGTTGTCCTGGATGTCAAGGTGTACAAGGGCAAGTGGGGTGAGCGAGATGTTGCCATCAAGATCCTGTCTGCAGGACTTGGCCTGGAGGCACGGGCAGAGTTCTTGTGCGAGGTGGAGATGCACATGCGGATGTCCCATCCCAATGTGGTGCGCTGCCATGGGGCGATCTACTCCAAGGACGTGCATGCCATGGTGCTGGAGCTGGCAGTCACCGACCTGCTGAAGTTGTCTCGGACGAAACGCCACATGAATTGGGGGCTGAAGGCACAGCTGATGGCTGGTGCAGCACAGGGCTTGAAGTTTTTGCATGACATGGGCGTGGTGCACAGGGACGTGAAGGCGGCAAACTTCCTGGTGTTCATTGATGCAGGTATGCTGACAGTGCTCTGGCGTCTTTGGATGGGAAACTGCACTAAGGTTTGGTCAAGGACATTATATGAAAGTTTGCATCAGATATCACAGAAAACCAAGCAGTTTTGCGCACAATGCACTTTTGTCTGTGAACAATGCTGGGATGTTCAGCATCAATGTTGCAGTGCTTAATTGGTAAAACGGCAGGGCAGCATCTTGTTTGCTGGCAGTGGGACTAGTAGCAACTGTTGAGGTGTTGTTTGGCAGTCTTTTTGTAGTTTTGGCTAGTACAGTACAGTGGCAGCAGCCTGTTAGTTGAATGGGTATTATTGTTGTAGACACGGGAGTGTATGAAGTCAAGATTGGGGATTTTGGTCTGGCCCGTGTCAAGCATGAGACAAGGACCACAGTGGATGGCATGATGGGCACCACACGCTACATTGCCCCAGAAGTCCACGAGGGCGGCTCCCACAACTACAAGACTGACGTGTTCAGCTTCGGGCTGCTCATGTACGAAATCGCAGCGGAGAACACGCCTTATGCAAATCTGCCTGAGGCTGCCGTGCTTGGGAGGAAGAGGAACAGAACCGACCCTTGCATTCTTGAGCCTGACTGCCCACCTGATCTGAAAGAGTTGATGGAGAGGTGCATTGAGCCAGTGGGGAGTGACAGGCCCACGATGCAGCAGGTTGTGGCTGAGATGAGGAAGATCCTACACAGGGTGGGTACCTGCATTGCCACACACTGGGTGGACATCTCAAGTTCATTGGTCATGACATGATTCATTTTAATTGTGGCTTGGGGAGCTGGGTGTTGAATATCAGTAGTTCATGTCATACTATGTACTATGAACTATTAGTTCGACTTGCGCTTGCTCACCTAGGGCTACCAGCCACTGGTGTTTATGGTCCATGATGCTTCACAGGGCCCATGGTTGCCATGTTTGGCACATATGATAATAAGCTTGATAGCAACCTTGCCTAAGCTGTTTAAAATGCTGCACTACCTGTATTGAATCACTTTGCAACATTGACATATTGGTGGTGTTTCCAATATGGACCACTGATACAGAGACAGAGACATTAAACCTACATATCTTAATTCTAAGACCAAGATGCCCAATCCTGACCTGCCTCTGCTTGTGTGGCACATATTGGGAACAGTGTGACACGCAACCTCCCAATGAGTGACCCATCTCCGTCTCATCCACGTTTCAGTGGCTGATATCCAGAACATTTTGGGCACACTTGACATTCAATCCATCTATGATTCTGCTGCCTTGGATGCATCATACTGTGCCTCTTGAGACACAATTTCAACGACTGTGTCAGATGGATGGATACACCATGGCTGATGGATTGCTACAGCCGTTGTGGATTTGTCTGTGTTTTGATTTGCACTGTACAACCTTTTGCACAATAACACTGCGAATATCAGGACTTGATAGTGCTGCACCCATTCTGCCCAAAAGGCATTGTTTCATTAACAGAACTGTGGTATTAGCTCTGTATTTTTGATAGAACAGTATATTAATCAATGGCTTTGTTGCTGCTTCCAGATGTTGTTGGGGTCTGCGGAGTCGATGATATTGGCAGATATTGGTTCACCACTCCACACAACTTCAAGGCAAGTCAGCACCACAGCTCAAGTCGAAGCGCTGCATCAGAAAGTGCACCAGACAAACTGCAATAATCAGCTGTAGCAATCAACTGCACTGTGCTGCAATTACCCTTGGTTATAGAAGGCTTCACGAGCGCCATGTCTGGAAAGCCATGTGCATTTGGGTGCTTTGGGAGGCTGGAATTTGGCATGTTGTCTTGCACTCTCGCTGGTCTTTACTGCAACTTGTTCAGCTTAAGTAGAAATTGATTGTAACATGTAAGATGATTGGTTGCCTTGGCCCAAAGTATCCCTGATTCTCTTCAATGTGCATTGGCAATGCATTTGCCAGCTGGGACACATCAATTGGGGCAACACCCAGGTGGCGTGTTCCCCGCATGAGAATTCACTGGTGCTGTTGGCTTGTGCTGAGAATAAGTTTTTACATGTCAAATACATCTCCTTTGCAAATTTAGCATAAACTTGCTCTTATGCTAGGGGGAAGAAGGGGGGAGCAAAGGGGGAGGATGTGTTGGCTCCAAGGATTGATGACATATGGATCTCAGACAGCCGCATGAGCCAGTCCATGCATCGCGAAGGCAGCATGAAGTGGGAAGAAGTCAGCACTATGCACTCAGTGGTGGAGGAAGGGGAGGAGGGGGTCAGACCAGTGACTAATGGCCAACAATCGGTGCGACCGCATGTCAAGTGGCAGGGAATGTATTTGTATGAAATTTTGTATGAAATTTGGAATGTATGTATGTTTTGCCACATAATAGTATCTCATCTTGTTGTGCTGGATTGTGGTGCATTACCTGGAAGATGGCATCATCTGTGATGGTCATGTCATGTAGACATACGCAAACATTTGGATGTGCCAATGTGCGCATAGATATGAGTGTTCATGCACCCATGCGTATATTTGCTTGGATACCCAAAGCAAGACGCAATTCCATGTATCTGTGTTCTCTGTTGCCGTGAAGGCACAGATGTGTCATCTTGGTAGACTCTTTTTTGGTTGCGGTTGTCTATTTTGCTGGTTTGAAATTAGTGCTTTGGCATAATAGATAATGCACTTGGCAGACAAGTGGGCATTTGCAGTGTGTTTCTCCATATTTCATCCAGTTGTCATGTATATCCACAGCTCTTTTGCTTGGTATTCATTACTTATTTCTCCCAAATCCCTTTTGAGGCGTTGGCAGCTTGTTTGGGGGTATTTGAGACCTGCTGGGTCTTAGGTTTTGTTGTTCAAATTTACATCTTCTTGTTGAGCATCAATGCATATGACAAGAAAACAGAATGTAAGGCACACAAAGGAATGTGCATAGAAAAGGATGTGCTGTAATGCCACATTATGGGCTGCAGGGGCACATGGCTTCCTTGTTCTAAGGCTTGGAACTTCATTGGTACTGACTGTAATGTGTGCATCGTGGCTGAATGGCATGTGAACCAGAGGGATGAGAAGAAACTGAGGCAGGCAGCTGTGGATGGGCGGGCCGATTTAGTCACTGCCCTACTGGAGAAAGGGGTGAATGTTGACACAAGGGACAAGGTACAGAGGGCACATATTGTCGTGCCACACTACTAGTGGATACTTAAGTAGCTAATTGGATGCTAATTTGCTTGATGATGGGAATCTGGCTGGTGCTTTGCCAAGACAGTGCTGATGCCACATTGTAGAAACATTGCAGACTGTCCGACTACAGACTGTATGTCAAGGTCAATGGAATCCTTAGTCAGTAGAACAATGCTCTGTTCTACATGGCAGCATATTTCAGTCCGAAGAGTTCCTCGGTATCCATAGACTTGATTGCACATGAGGCACATTGATGCATGAATTGTGTATTGTACAATGGACATGCACAGAACTGGACACCTTGTCACTTCACAACTTGATGAGCACACCAGAAATGGCATCAACAACCACAAATCGTTTTGCCCATTACCTGTCACACAATTTTTGGCATTTCCCAACTTTTGTGTCAATTGGCATAAGCACTTGAAAAGGTGGTGGGGCTGCTGATGTATGCATTGTTGGCATGGCCAGTATCTCACTACTGCTGCCTTGAACCTGCAGTTGTGGAAAAGTGCTAGTGTTGCACTGGATTCTTGTTGACGCATCATTTTTGTGAACTGCTTCAAGCAGCTTAGTTTGTGGGGATGTTGCTGTGTGTGGACAGAATGGTGCCACACCTTTGTGCATTGCATCCTGTAATGGGCATAAGGAGGTTGCAAGTGTCCTCATCCGAGCTGGTGCAAAGACAGATAGCGCAGACAAGGTGGGAGGTCAAGTACTGCCTTTCCATTCTTTCTTTCTTCTGTGTACTCTGAAATTACTTGGGGCAGCGAGAAAAAGCATCTGCCTGCACCTGAATTTTAGTGTTGTTATGTTTGCTGAGGTGGACTCCGAATCTGGCATACCCTTAGGTCTGTGCATGACTAAGAGCGGCCCTGCATGTTAACACGTCCTAACATTGGGACTCTGGTCCAGAGTGCCTGCATGTGTTTGCCATGCTTTTTGCACATTGTTTGTGGTTGCACGTTATGTGCGTCATGCAACATGGGCATGCATCCACCCTACCTCATTTTTATGATTATGCGCATTGTATTTTCCACTGTTTGTGTCTGGACTGGCACATCCATGACAAGCATTCGTGCACATAGCATCCCCGCCCATCTCACCCTGCACTGATCGGGTGCCTTCCGTACACCAGCAAAAACGCCATTTTGGCAATGCCAGCTGCAATGCCATGAAGTTAGTTGATGCGATGGCAGTTGGCGTGATTCAAAACTTGCAGAAGAATGCGCAGCTGCCTATTAACTCGCCAAACACAGTTTAGGTATGGTGCAAAATGACCAACATTTAAGTACAGAGGGCGTTGGGCACCTCTCAGTTGGTGGAAATGTGGGTCCCTTGCTTAGAGAAGCGTTGAGGATCCATTCAAATGGCTGATACTCAAGCTGAGGTGGCAAAACTGGCATGAAAAGGGGTCTTAGATGCCCCCTGCTGTGCTCGAATGCATCATGCACATGCCAAATTGACCAAAATGCACAAGCAGTGGGTCGCAAGGAGCCCGTGCATTGCCAAAATGGGGCCGCTGTGTCCAGGACGACGAATGTAATTGATGGATTTTGGATTTTGTGACAAATACATTCAATGGATTTTGCTGATGTTGATGTGTCCAGATTGGCGTTGAGCATCATTTGGAGTTGCTGATGCTCAATGCCAATCTAGATGCAGCACCACATTTCATCAATGTTTGGGTGCTGAATGCCTCTCACCGTTTCAGTAAACGTGTGCGGGCATTTGGAACCTAACATAATCCATGTTTTGGTTAGAAATCGTTGGAGTGGCAGGTGGTTGATGCCAATTCTAATGTGGCAGCCCCATTTTGGCAACATGGGGGTATTCAGTGCCATCACTGCTTGAGTCTTGGCCAGTTGCCATTTGGCAATGTGGAAGGCAGTTGAAGTTCCACACCATCCATGTTTCAGCCCTCCTGCGAAATTGCCAACCACACACAGTGCCCTTAGGTTTTGTAGCGTTTAGTCATTTAGCCATTGAAGTATCCCTTGTGATTATTCGGGAGTTCTTGTTTGTCTTTGGCTTTGGCGATTTGAATGTGCTACACATGTCTATGTTCCCACCTGGAAATTGATGTAATATAGTGTGCACGTTCATGTTCGTTGTTGGCATTCCAAACATGCTGCCTTGTTCTCCTTGCTGTGGCCCATTCCCATGTCTGAAGTGAACAAGGGTAGCCAATTAGGAGCACTGTGAATTTCAATTAGCAAAAGTTGAAAAAAAGTGACAATGTGCACAAATCAAAGGTGAATTTGATGCTGACGTTGCCAGCTTTTTCATGAGATTGTAGGCTCACTTGATTGAAAATTGGATTTAAGGCCCACACGAACTACTTCGGCACTATGGCTCTCAGCACCGAGTGACAATACTGACCAAAAAGCTGAGAAAACATGTGGACGCTGAAGTTGTAAGCTCTTTGGTAGTTTGGCTCGCACTGGCTGCTAAAGCACTCTTAGCTTCTATACAGAGTATATGGCATGTGTTGGGCATTGAAGAGAGTGTGCTTGTTCTAACATTTTGAGCTGTTTCTTTAGTGCATTTGTGTGAGGTTGGCATGAGGGAACTGTAAGTTTGAAGCTTTTTTGGGGGGGGGACTTATGATGCATCGGCCACTACATAGTTTGGAATTTGAAATCAAAGTTGGCAAAGCTGAAGGGATTCTAATTTGCAATTGCTTGAGCAGCTTGCATGGAAGCGCCATTCATGTGAATGCAGTTGTGAGTGTATTTTAATTGATAGTTGCTGCTTTCATTTACTCGTATACCGTTATGATTACTTGCAACTTGTGCATTTCTGTGTTTCCAAAACTTGTCATTGCGGACCTACTATGCATGAGTGCAAGATGTATGGGCTGCCATTGGCGTTCAGGATGGAGCCATGCCATTGTACATCGCCTCTTGGGGTGGACACAAGGAAGTGGTCAGCGTGCTCCTAGGGGCTTCCGCAAGGGTAGACTGCCCAAACAAGGTATGGCAATTAGGGCTGCATCAAGGGATGCCGAGTTGCAAATTTGACAGTTTTTGCCAACATGTAAACTACATACAGATGCTTTTGTGAAATCACATTGCCAATTATTCTTTGATTGAATGGAATTTTGATAGCCGCTCGAAGCCCTTTCTCAATCCTGCTTCAACCAACACGAGCCCTTCTAATCTTTTCCTTCGAGCAGTTACCAGCCCATTTGCAAAATGTGTGACCATCACTTTGTCAGCAGTGTTCACACAGCTGCTGGTTGAACAAATGGCCTGTCCAGCAGTATCAAATTTTTATGTATTTTTTATGTTTTGGTGCACATTCGCTAATATCTCTGTCACTCTAGTTGTTTGCACTGCATCTGATAGTCTTTGTCATCACCTAACATCCATTGTGCCCATGCATATTCTTGGCAAAATTTTTCATTTATGCTACGTATCGAATCAGGTATGTCAGTCCCACAGCCTTCGCACCCATGATATGGAGACTCCATAACCTGGATATGAGGATATAAAGGATATGCATATTTTTGCCCATGTAGTCATCTTGAAGTGTTCAAGGAAGAGGGTGCCATGTTTCTCGTAATGAATTGAGCTCAATAAAAGACGTATTTGTGTCCTCAACCTACTAAACCAAGCAGCTGGGACAATGTGTGTATATTTTAATTACTGAAGCAGGGGCAATATTATCTGAGAGAATGTTGGCTATCAGATTTTCTGTCATTTTCTATGCATTTTGGTACCTGTAATTTAAGGCATAGCTCATGGTAAATGGAATATTCTGAAGTGCAGGGGTTAGCTGGATGCATATAATTGGATACATACAACTGTTGATTATTATGATTGATGCCTTTAACATGGAACTGTACATGCAGCATTTAAATGCAATTTATACCAGTCACCTTGTACACCATGTCCTGTGTTGTAGCAAATTACTCCTGCGTGTTACTCTGAATCATGAGGGCGCGTGCCATCTGATGTGCCATTTTTGTCTTTGACCATTATAATGGCTTGTGTGGAAAGATTTCCCTTTCCCCCTCCTTGGACCTAAACTATCCCCAGAAACTTGTACGTTGGCTTAATACCTTGACTGTTGGTTGGAAAGGTTGCATGGCCAGGATATGGCCATATCCTGCCCCTGTGTCCTGGATATGGGACTTCTAATTTACAGCCATCACAGCAGAAGCTCCTGGTTTGAGTTGTATGCCTTTCTGCACCAAAACTGTCCCCACCAACGACAGGTCATCATATGCAGGGCACAATAGCAATGGAGTGCTATCATCATTGACCCCATTGAACATTTTTGTGCTTTAGCGCGCAAAGTGCCGTTGTTGGCTGTGATCTGCAGAATGGCGCCACGCCACTGTACGTTGCGGCGCAGCAGGGGTTCGTGGAGATTGCTGACATGCTCCTTCGGGCTGGAGCAAAAGTGGATCTCCCCAGACATGTGCGTCACAGAGTGCTGGCAAATATTTCATGAGTGTATGTGCACTTGTAGCTTGCATTTGCACACCAATGCACATGGTATGAATTTGTGTACTTGCTGCCAAATGTCCACCAATTCTGTATGCAATTTCTAGGAAACTGCCATGAAGTACGGTGGCTGTATGGGCTCTTAAATTGGAGACACCGATTGGCAGCACCTCATTGTGGTAGAGCTTTACACCATGCAGCAATACATTGCTGCACACATGTCGATACAGGCTGATTGATGTGCATACTAACCAAGCCTGTTGCAACAGATAGTGCCAGCAGTTTGAGTGCACCTCGCATTGCAAACCTTGTTAGATTATTCTGGCTTTGTTTGCTGTCATATTTACGAAGTGCTGAGACTTTTGGTGACAGCTTGTGCTGCATATCTTTGCAACATTTAGTGAATTGGCGACACAGAATGCTGCTGAATGCTGGCCATGTTGGCTTGATGTAAGAGACACCTGAGCAATCATGTCCATAGTAAAGTTCTGCCAGATGAAGCTAGGTTAGTGAATCCTTCATGTCCAAGAATTTGTGTGGCCAGTTGTGTGGAATACGTGGGTATCTTCCCACAGCACATTGGGCACTTTTGTGCGATGTAAGTAATGCCTGACGAGCAGAAGTACATAGCCCCTCGTTGTGTGTACCATATATGCGCAATATGCGTTGTTGTGCGCAGTGCTTAATTCCCACAGTGTTTACCATGCTTCTTCACTCCTTAATGATGTGATGGATGCAGGGTGGTGCAACCCCGCTGTGCATCGCCGCCCAGGGGGGCAAGGTGGAAGTCGTGAAGGTGTTGCTTCGGGCTGGTGCAATGCTCGATTTCCCAATCGAGGTTAGCTGAAGGCACTGCACTGAGCTACTGGAAATCGAGACTGCTCTGCTGAAATGCTGTTCAATGCAGGACTGTCCTTCAGTGCTGCCATTCGAATCAAGGCATGACAATGATGTGTCATAGTGGTATCCAAAATATGTGCATTTATCCTTTCATTATGTGCATCGCATGTTTATTGCCGCATTTCTGTTTTTTCTTTGGGAGAGGGGGGGACACATTCCATATTTCATTGCATGGGAAACCATCAAAACAGGGTACCCGTTTTGTCGAATTGGGGACGTAAGTTTTGCACGGACAACATACACTTTTTCGTACAGAAAATTCACAATACTTGGTATTCAGTATATGCCTTTTGCCCAAAAGCCTGTTGTGTCACAGAGTCACTGCATGTGAACATGCCTTTTGCAAAAGATTGTTTCCAATTGCCTTCGTAGTTATGTGACGTTTGCGAGATTTTGCAGGGAGGTGCCACCCCGCTGTTCATTGCAGCGAGAAGTGGGCAAACTGAAGTCGTCAAATTGCTCATTAAGCACAATGCGGCTGTGGATAGTACCATGGAGGTGCGTGTGATGAAGTCAGGGATACGGTTGGTGCGTTTTTGAGCACAATGTAAATTTTTGACATGTTTAGTATGAATATTCCAATACAATTATTTGATAAGTAAGTACTCATAATGTACAGAGTACGGTTGCTTGCTATTGTAATTTACTGCTCAATTGTGGATCTTAGAAGAGTACGACAGGTCAAGGCTACCTGCCTGGGCATTTCTGTGCAGCGGGACAGAGTATTGTAAAACCCAATGGCTTTAACAGTGTAATGGGAATCAATGGCGAAGTCTGATTCCTTTATCTTTCTTGCGTTGTAATCCTTGTGGTGCTGCATTCTCAATTTCATCTTTGCTTGTCTTTCTTCGTTGTTGAGTGGGTAGCCAGCCAGCCAAATCATCAGTAGGGCTGTGCGGATGGGTGTGTGTGGGGGTGGGGGGTGGGGTGGAGGTATGTAAACATCGAGTCACCTCCTGGCTACGCATTTCAGAAACCTGTGCACTTAGTTTGTTACGATGGATTGAGCATTTAGATGTCCTTTCTACAACAATAGCATGCCCCGTTCTGAAAGATTGATGTTGTCTTACCACATGATCCGATGCAGACATGTTCATTGTGTCGCTCTTCGAGCTGCTTTGAGTGGTGAATTCATTGTATCCATTCAGCTTGCCACATACTGTTTTCAATCCAAGGCAAGGAAATAAATAGCACTTCGCAGTAGATTAGGACACAAATCAAAATAGGGAAGTAGCGAAATAGAGATGATAGAACAATGTGAAAGGAAGGTTGCTTTGCTGATCCTCTTCATTCGGCATTCTCGCAGAATGGTGCAACGCCACTGTTCATCGCTGCTCAGGAGGGCAGGGCTGATGTCGCAGGAGCGCTCATTATGGCTGGCGCAGATGTCAACCGTGCAATGATGGTGTGCTGACAATCGACGTGTAGATGTTCGTGGTTTAACCTGTGAAAATGCGTCCTCCCTTGTACTTTTATCTGCACATTCACCAGTAGCTCCATTGGTGTAAATGGCATTTGCACCAGTCATACGGTATGACTCATACCATTGCAGTGATTGGCACCACAATGGTGTTGCAATACTGATTGACTCCTTGCAGTGAACATATACATGTTAGCATGCTCCTGGCCTCACACTTTGTCAGGAGATCCAGTGATTTTTGCGCATCAGATCAATTGATGGGTGTGTGAAGCATGTTGAACTCCATGATGCCTATGTATTTATTTATTCATTCATTATTTATTTATTTATCATTACCTAATTTATTTATCCATTGATATTTCATCAATTGATCTTGTTATGTAGTTGCTTATTACTACTACCTAGTGGTATTATGCATGTTCCCTTTTCCAAATTGAGGGACGGCTCTTGAAACTACCTGATGCAAGCAGTGATGAATGTTGTGGCCGGCTGAAAGAGGACATAATTAATCGCTGTTCATTGAGGGAAGTGAAGAAACACTTAGTGGTGGTGTGCAGGACGGAGCCACATCATTACACATAGCGTGCAGGAATGGCCACAGGGAGGTTGTCGATGTGTTGTTGCTGGCAGACGCCATGGTGGAATGCACCAGTGAGGTGAGCATGTTGGATTCTAAGGATATTGGGAATCACGGATGTGTACATGCAGCCAACATCTACACGACAGGTCCAGTTGAGCCAAAGTATAGACATAGTACATTTACTGAATTTCGAATTCTGATTCCAGGTATGTGACAGCCGTTGGTGTGACTTGTGTGACCGCTCAGGATGGTGCCACACCGCTCCATGTCACAGCTGAGCATGGGCACCAGGAAATCGCTGAGGCGCTCTTGCGAGCAGGGGCCAGAGTGGACTCTTTGAACAGGGTTAGTCAAGAGTTGGGTTTCCAATATGAAAGTCCTAATATATTAGGACATATATATGTGTTTGCAAATCCATTGTGAAAGCATGTGCACCAGGCAAAGGTCACCCGTTGGATAGATGCGATGCTCGTTGTCAGTATGACACAGCAGGACAGAAAATGTGCAGATTGCTGATGGCTGGCTATTGACAGTTACCTTGGACAACTTTCTGGCGGCTCAGTGTGCACTAAAATCCGTGCTGCTTGATAGTTTTGAACCAAATGCCATTACAAGTGCATTGTTGTTGCCTTTGACTGTGAACCTTGCACCTGGAGTATTGCATTATGCTGCATTGAAGGTGTTCATGTCATGAATAGCACCATGCCACTATGTGTGTCTTCCAAGCAGACTTGCTACTTATGGCGTAACTACTTGCTATTCATGGGAAATTATTCGCTTACTTCTTGTTGTATAAATAGGCATAAAAATCCGATGGAATGGGCCCCGTGTACATAAGACGTTACTTACAGACTCAGGTGTCTGGGGAGTGTCAGCCAGAGATGCTGGAGTGGGGAAAAAAACGACCTTTTGTTCGATGACATCGTTGCCCTTGCTGAGGGCGAGGTGGACGCTGTGTTGCGGGTGTCAAAGGGGCAGAGGACTGGCTGTTGTTTAGGGCAGACGACTAGTCATTCATCAGGGCGTCGTCATGTAAAGTCGGTGTGTTGATTAGCCATAAAACTGCTTAATATATGGCAGTAAGAATGGCCGTTTCTCTATTTATGCATGCTTGCGCATAACTGACGTAGGTAAGAATGGTGATGTAGATGTAAATAACAATCGTGCTATCACTAGGAAAAAAGTGCCAAATAACACGTGTTCAAACGTGTGCAAAGTTTACGGGTTTGTGTTATTTTGGTGTTCTCAGCGTGCAGAGCTTTGATGAAATGTGTTTTATGTGTTTTCGCAAAAGTGTTATTTGGCCCTTTTTTCCTAGTATATCAGGGAAGCACTGAGGTTCATCGTTACGTATTTCAACCTGCCCGTGGTGCTCTATATTTCAGCATTTGCTGGACAACAGCATTTGTTGGTAATGATGCAGAGCAGCGCAACGCCACTGTACGTTGCAGCACAGCGGGGAAGGGCAAGTGTGGCACAGGTGCTTCTTTGGAGAGGTGCAGCTCCGAATCAACCACAAAAGGTAGGTCATTGCGTTCATTTTTTTGTCAATGCATCGAATCGCTTGTCAGTAATTGTGCTGCTGCTCTCTTTTTCACTGATATTTGTTGTTGTACTTGAAGTACTTGAAGTACTTGTAGTATTTATCAACAACCGTAATAACTTTTTGGAATTCCAGCTTAGTCCTCTGCATCACTCTGGTGCTATATGGCAGAGATGTCTTTCCTGCACATTGTTGTTGCGACCCTGTGACAATGCTGCTTTAGCTAATCAACAAACTGTACAAGATGCTCTATTGATACCATTACTACTGCCCTCTGGATCGCCATTGTCATTGTTGATATTAGTTTGATCTCACCAACCACATCACTGACTATTTGGTGCTCAAATTTATGTCTATGCAGCACACCTATTTTCATCGCCATTATTGCTAATATCGCCATGAAATCAACTGTTTTCGATTACATGGCAGTCAAGTCATTGCACAATTAGCATCTTTGGCATTATCGCTACTGATGCCTGACATCGATGGCATTGTCGATCATCTGATGCTATGATCAACTTTTCCACGCAGGACAGTGCCACTCCCCTGTGCATCGCAGCAAAGAATAGACACAAGGCGGTCATCCAGGTGCTCCTGCGGTCAGGCGCTGATGCAAATTATGCCATGGAGGTGCGGTGGAAGCTCAACAATGTGACTTGCGGGGCAGTTTCAGAGGCTGCAGTGCATCCAAATCTATTGCATGTTGCTGTGCAGTGATATATGGATTATTTATGCACACACGTGGCTGATTTCTGAATGGCTGTGTGCCTTCGTGGGCATTCAGCTGAGATACTCTTGTTACAATGCATTTGATATTGAGTGAAGTCTATACTTCATCAATCGAACAGTGCATCCATAGATCAGAAGATATTTTATTCCATTTCATGGGGAGGCATCACTTGCATAGTTGTTCTGTCGTTTTGTTCAAAATTGCCTTCAAGCACCGCTGGTGGGAATTGGACAACAAACCCACACTCTCAGAGGCGATTTGCAGCAATTCGTGGACATGCATTGTTTGAAATGTGTAATTCTGCCTTGATCATCTTGTGGTGCACTGCAGCGTTTTTCCATCCAGATGCTCAAAATATTGAAATGCAGACTATATAAAAGGCGTGCAAGGTAACGTGGTGAAAATGCGTGGCAAGGTTCTGGAAATCTATCGACTTTCTTCGATCAGAACAGCACGACATTATGTATGTAGCGACTTTTGCAATCAACCAGTGTTCCTAATGAGCATTTGCTTGTTATTTTGTTACTATATTCTTTTCTCTTGTTTGTGGTGATGATTTGATTACATTTTACACAAGAACATCAATACGTAGTCGTAACATCTGTCCATGGGCGTGTTCAACCAGAATGGCACAACGCCGCTGTACATTGCATCGTGGGATGGAG